TCGATATTATGCGGATTGCTTGCGCCCTTTGTCGTCGGATGAACTTCCTTAACTTTTACTTGTCACGTTAACCCAGTTAAGTAAGAGACAGACAGAACGGCAGCTAATGAGAAAGCCAATTTTAATTTCCCTTTCGCAATTTTGTCTCACACTTGAGCCTTATAGTACACTATGTCATGCATCGTTATACTCAGCAAAATGGAACTATAATCAATATCCAGTGTGTAGCGCTGACTCTTTTTAAAAATTTCGATTCTTTTGACAAGGAAGCGGCCTATGTATTATACATGTGTTAACAGTGACAAGGGATTTAGCCCAGCTGAATTTACATTCTAAAAATATACTAACGACTTCACAGCGTTATAAATAGAACTTGGAAAACAGGGAAATTTGTGTTAATGTGAAACTTTTTCTTAACTAAGCTAAATAAATAGTCTTTGTATAAATGAAATTAAATCTAGAATAAGTATAAAAGGTCGCGTTTCAGATTAAACATTCTATTCGATCATCGGATAATTTCTTTTCTGTGTAATGTCAAAAATATGAAGATCGAACGAGTTTTTCGGTTCATATCCTTAGCTCTCTTTTTTCTGAACTCTGTTTAATTATGACTGTCTCGTTTGTATCGAAAGGTTCGAATACTCGTAGTTATAAGTTTTCGTTACCCGAGGCGGTATACGTGTTTTGGAAGAATACCGAGATAAATGAAATTGATGTTTTTATAGATAAAAAATTAGGATTTTTTAAAATGAAATAACAATTTTATACTAAAGTATATGTCACTATTATTATACGTACAAATTGATATTTAATTATTCTAATGCGTACCATTACCAGTTTCCAATAATTGATTAAATTATTATAGAATGATAACTAAGATAATAACGATCATTATCAAATTGATAATACTCGTGACCAATGGTTATAACATAAATTCATAAATGTTTATTCAAGATAGAAAAATTTTACGAGAAAGAATAACTGAAAGTTTATAAAAAAATATTATCATCCTTAAATTTGCTAACTTTCTACGAGCAACAGCAGCCTTTGACAAAGAAACATTAATTGATTAACTTTTCTCGTATCAGAGACTGTGTATCCCGAAAAAATCTTATTTTAGCACACTGTATAAGAAGAAGATGAACGACCTCCCACATATCTGACTAACGATACAAGAAAAAGGCATTTCAGGGTCAACTCCTATTTTCCACTCATATGTTTCATACGTTACGAAATAATGAAATGGATGGACTTTCCTTGTTATTTTGGAATTGAAACCCTAAAAGACAATTGAAACCGGAATTATTTCTGTTTTCGAAAGTTTAAACTTGTCGGTCGAACATGTTCCTTAATTAACTTCACAGATATAAAAGGTGCTGTGGTCAATTAAAAGCGAAAGTAATTAACACTTTATACAACATAAAAGAAATATTATTTTAATGTTGAAGTACTGGTGGAATCCACCAGTGAATGGACAGAACCTAGTAAATGAACGTGTTCACATAAATTATATTTATGTATAGTATTTATCACACCTATCCATTCGCAGAAAGCGTTTCTTAAGGTCTTTATTTACTGGTGAATTTAACCCATAAAGGTTTATGTTAAGGTTTGTCATATCATTATGCAGGTAATAAATAACTGACATATACCCTGTACTGATAACTTCAATTGACTTAAATTCAGTTAATCATCCTGATTCAAATTAATACGTCCATTAAATCTGTCTCATTAAACTAGGTACGTCTCACATGTTAAAATCAAAGTTAAAGCTTCCCTTTACATCAAACGTCGCGTACCCTTTATTACCGACGCTCTTACAGTTCTCCATAGATAGCCGGATGACTTCACATTCCATTTTACTTAAATTCCCCTTTATTTCCTTTCATCGTATCAAAGAAACAGACAGACTTTCCGTCTGTAACATATAAAAAAGTAAATTGTACATCCTGATTATTAAAGTCACGTATTTGACTAATTTAACTATATTCGCAAGGTCTATATTCAAAACTTGCATATCACGCAGAATGATTTATAAAAGTAAAATTTTATAAAAATGCTTGGTATTGGCGTGTTATCTCTTTATTAGCTATGGTATTCTTAATTAATCAGATTCATCTCAGTGGTATGTAACAGAGGTATATGGCAAACGTGTTAATGCGTAGGAGGATCGACTACGATGTTCTTGAAAGCTTGATTGCGAAATTACATGCAAATCTCTAGCAAATCATTTTCAGCTTCACATCCCCCGAATACATTTTTTCTCCGTATTCCACCCTCAATGCAAAACGAGAGTAAGAGATTATTTTTTGCATAATCAATGATTTAGAGATTTAGGAGATTATCATTTATATTAATAATCTACAGATGAAGTAAAAATCCTAAAAAAATACATTATTGATTTCGGCACTTTTGACTTTTCTTATGGAACTCTTGGAGGAGCATTCCGTGACGTCGTTGTACCTGCAGCAACGGTCGATGAAGAACTCACGATAATGTAAGTAGTACAAAAGCGAAATAACGTTCGCTCGAACGAATTTCATGGAAATTTTTCAGCTGGTTAAGTATCGGGCTCTTAAAAATTTTAGAAATATTACACAGTCGACTTCGCTTACTATACAGAAACCCACGCGTGTTGTAGCTTTACGTCCGTGAAACATTTTTCAAGCTATCGAGTCGTGCAACGAGCAAGAGTATCTATACCTTAAGCAATTAGGAAAGGGACCCACTTCGGAATTTCCCCTTAACGCATTTTCCTCGTAAAGGGCGCGTTGACCGGAATACGAAAACGGAAGTATCCTTCATATAACTCTCTGGTGATATTTATAGTGGGTCAATTATTTTCAAAGAGTACTTTAGAACGTTAATCTGTATGCGAAGGACGCAACGGGATGGATAATGGCAAAATCAATAAAATTTTTCTTTTATTAACGCTTATAAATATGCATGATTTCGTATTTTAAAATTCATAATAGATAAATCAGATATTCATTATATTTATATAAACATCAAGGTAGAGTTTTCACAAATACTATTATTCGATTTGAACAATCGGTCGGATATTCAGTTGCATGTTTATATAATTTTATTCAACTGCGCTTTGCCTAGGCTGATCCACTTCTATGGAGACGTATTGAGCCGGTTGCATTCCGTTCATCAATTGCACCTGGGCAATCATTTGCACGTCGATACGCAATATGCGAGACAATCCTGAACCGAGTGTTTGTTCTCTCTCTCTCTCTCTCTCTATACTCACCTATAGTTCTATGTGGATAAGAGTAGTTCTAGTAACATGCGTCCGGATGTTGTTTGTTCTCAACCTCTTAAGAGGAAATCAGCTTCGGTTGGTCCCTGAGTCACTTCCTCTCTAGGATTATTGCTTCGCGTAAGAAATGCGTGAAGCGAAGGATAAAATTCTCGTTTTCCAACTGAAAAACTCATATTGGATTGTCTGAACGATGAGGCGTGTTACTTTCTAATCAGAGCGAAACAACAGGTGTGACAATACGCGAGTAGCCGGTATGAAGCGTAATCAATAATATCGACAACGGCATAAAAAGCCAAAATAGATATCTAGTATTGCGTGAAACTTTACGGCCTGGAGAATAGGTACTAACAATGTAATAACGACGCCATTATTTTTTTTTCTTGCACGATAAATGTCTTACCATATTAAAAATATTTTTCTTAAAAAATTTGTATATAATAATAGTACTCTTTCGTTAAAGTATTTTTAATTGAATTTCATTTTTATAAATGCGCAGAGTGCAATAATGTCTGATATCAAGATCAATGTAGGAATTTCCAATTTCTCTCTAAGAATTTCCGATTTCTCGTTAAATGCGAAAGAGTACACTTTGTCTACAAGATTGCTTAGTTGGAGTGATTGTCATGCCTTGGACACATTACACAGTAGATATGATGATAGAGTAGGTAATAGTGCAGTCAATCACGGAATAAAAATACGAGCAGGTGAAAAAAAAATATTTTGACCTATGATTTTTATTGATTTTGATAAGTCTGTCACTTTCTTAAATTGCATCGATCAAGTCATAACGGTATGCAAATTCGTAACAATGTACAACCATCAGCGAGCAAAACGTGATGATGGTCTACAAACTCTCGCTAAACATTTGTGGTCAAGGAACAGAAAATTGAACGCAACGAGCCTGTAGGTAACTATTTTAGAACGGTTTTCAAAGTACTAAAAAAATATGATGGCACGAATTTTGTATTGAATATGAATAACTTATTCATCATGTAATTACGTGTAGCGAGTTTGTATTCCTTATTGAAATTATAAAAAAAACATCATTTTCTAATGCACTGTTCTTTATCATACGAGATCTCATCGGCTGTTCTCTATATTAGACTGTACAACGAATTGATAATTGAGATACGAAGGCTAACGTAGCCACGAATGAAATACTCGCTTGAACTATCCGAATATACCTGAATGCAGTCTAGTAATATAAATCAACGAAAATCGATTGACGTAACTATAGTGTTGGCATTTAAATTTCCAATAAATACATAGTTATTTATATATCTTATAGAAAATTCAAGGAATTAGAAGCATTTTGTTGAACTGTACTCATGACACTGAGAAATGTATATGTATGCTTCTTATTCGGTATTCCCTTTGACCTTTGATATGACGGCATATGCATATGTGAAATTTATTCTCAGGGTTCGGTATATTTGTTTTTATCTAATTAAATCAATTATGCCACCTGTTTATGAATATTTCTGGAGCTTCTTTGATCGTAGAATTAATGTCAAAATGTCAAAACCTATAGCTTTATATTTATTATAATTATTCACTTTATGATATTCTACCAAGTAGTACGTAATCCCTTTATCTTTTAACCTTGTGTCATCCTCTGTTCACATTTCATACTTTTTTAAGTAGTTAATCTCGAAGATAATTTTTTTTTCTTATGTGGTTAAAACGTTGCATAAGTAGAACATAAAGTACACTTTTTGAGAGGTACACTTACCCGTGAAGTATCCTCAGCGATGAAGTCCTCTTCTTTTTCTTCTTCTTCTTTTTTTTCTTCTTCTTTTTCCACTTCGCTGATTTACATTTCGTTTTTGATATCTCGGTATCACGTACGATTAAAGTTCACAAATGACGTATGACGTTCTGAGTATGATTTTTGGAGTTTCGTTTCTTCGGGACGATTTACACGGTCCGCGTTCCAAACTCGTGCGAATCAACTTGATGACGAAAATTTTCTTTCGGCGAAAATATGGGAAATGGAGCAAAAGCCAGGAATAATGGCCGCTGCTTATCCTCGTACAATTCCCCAAAGTCGTAGCGCGGAAGTATATCAAAAGCTCGTAACGGTTGTAATTTTGCAGTATAATCTTCTCTTTGTCGTTTCCCAAAATTTCCCAGAAGTTGTTAATAGCGGCTTATGCCTGAAAATGAAATAAAGCCAAACTTTTTTTCAGTTTTATCTTTGAAACGTTAATTATGCGTAGGGTAAATCCACAAGACCAGCTCCACTTTGAGGGGTCACTTTGTTATGAATGTTAAAGCAGAAGAGCCCCCTGAATTTGGAACTGACATCAATTCGATTATGTATGTTTGCACTTTTTTGAATTGCGAGTGCATTTACCTGAGTAAATGCATTCGCAAAACTATAGGCAGTACCCGTTTGCATATTTACTCTACTAAAAGCATAATAGCTATCGAACCGGAATGAAATATTGTATATTTTAGTGAATGATGAATTTGAAGAATTTTTAGTAAATTCGTGTTGCTGGCTATCAAGCAAGAAATTTTTATTATTTTGAAATTTTTGTAGCGTATGTAAGCGCGTCCAAAAATATTTCTTCTCGTCTCAAGTTTTTTGTATAAGCCGAGGGGCTAAATAATATTCGTATTATCCTACGTGAAGACAATGAATAAAAAGAATACAAAATTTGTATAATAAAGCATCTTATATTCCATACAGATATGTTTTTTCAATTTAAGATCACGAACAAGCACGATATATCTCACTGCAAATTTTCTCGACTTCTTTGAAATCCCGTTGACAAATCCGACTTATTAATTTACGATACGATTGTGGTGAACAGTCAGTTGCAAGAACTTTCGAATACGTTAAAAAAAATGTGTGGATCGATCAAGAACACCAATCGGCCCCTTGTCTTAAAAATGTTAATAAAAACAGCATTTAACAACAATCTACTAACTATATTTGTTGTTCACGCAAAATTGTATTATTATTTATGAAATGTCACGTTTATTAAAAACTAAAGAGATACTCATCACACGGACACTTAGCTATAATTTATTTCACAGACGACCAAGAAATATAATATGCAATATATTTATATGATATTCGCGAAGGCATCTATGCATTTTCATATAAACTCTATAAAAAAAAAAGAAAGAAAAAGGATACAGGTAAACTTCAGTTATCACAGGAAATTTAATTTGTGGGGACGTAGAAAAAGTTTTTAAATTATCCACGCAGTATAGCCTCTATGTTTCAAGTTACATTCGTGGGGTGTACCTTGTATAAGGTTGTGCCACGCGGTAGGTCGTCGCGACGCATCCACTACGTCGGTGGTCGAAACGGTACTGCAAGCTTGCGAGCTTCCCGGCGTCCCTTTGCCGCCATTGACCCACCCTCCCACAGCCGATCCCCTTTCCATCCCTGACCCCTCGTTCAACCTCTTTCATTGGTGGGAGGGGAATAGGCAGCCGGAGGGATCTCCAGGAGATAAGATGGTTAGGGATGGTGAAACCACCCCTGTTGGACGTTCACATGTTGCTCCATTGGGAAGGAGATATCAATAGGAGCTCTAAAGCTTGATAGCACTTATCAGCCACATATGAGATGTTCGAACTAGCAGAAGCAAGAAATAAGTATCGTTGTACGTAGTAAAGGTAAATTTAATATTAAAATTGTATTATACTAGAATAACTCATTAAAGACTGTACACAAATTAATATCTTGAACGGGGGGATGAATTGGGATGAAAGTAAAGGGATTAGGTTCAGTCATCCAAAAGAGAGGGTTAATTTTCATTTAGCTTGGAATTACTTTTCCATGACGTAAAATAGATCAGTAAGTTTGCTGCTTGGGATTCCAGGATTTAATCGTAGGATATTTTTAACGGTAGTGAAAAAAGAGTGCATTGTTCAAACCGAGCCGAAAACTATACGAGAATGTAGTGCATTCGTCGATTTTGGGTTAGAGTACTTGAACGGTGTTGACATAATTTCGTGCGAAAGCACGATCGGCATATATCTCGTTAACACTTGTGTAACTATTTTTGCAGTCAGCGTTATTTTTATTAAATATAGATCCAAGCAATGACTCATGAATAATTGCAGGAATGTTCTATACTTTGAACGTGTTACTTTACACGAATTGTTACTAACTAGAACTCAACACGATAACCATAAACTATCATGTAAGCTTCAGTAGCACAATGGCCATAACGTGACTTCAGAGAGTCGTAAAACTTGGGTTCAACGTTAACCAGTCTTTAATAAAGACTTTTCTGACTTTTCCTCGTAGAATTTATACGCTAGCCATATTTCTGCTTTCCGTCATATAAATTGATCTTGCGCGAACACTAAAATATTCGTATGCTCATCGGACGAAACGCTTTAAAAAATTAAATATATATTTCTGAAACAAATCTAATTTAATACATGGATTACGTCCAATTTATTTTTAAAAATTACTTTTTCTATTCGACCAAGTCTAATAGCGAGTATTAATAATTTTATTATTTTTCTATATACCTTGATTCTTTGCACAATAATATTTAATCCTGTATCCTGTATAGGATACTGCATCCTTTTTATAGTACACTGGGGCCTCGCCTAGCTCACCTTCATTCAGCTTACATGGGTAAATGGAGGGGCACATTTTAAACGTTTTCGTTTTTTAGAGCAGCGAGAGAGAGAGAGAGAGAGAGGAAAACGTCGTCACCGTTTCTCGTACCTGATTGGTTCTTCACATAGCTTACACGTCTCCGGATTAGGTAAGCTAGATGAGGTTCCACTGTAGGTGCACTGTCATGGTGAAGCTGGACTATTCCTATTGTGAGTACAAAGTCATTTTTCATCTACAATGCGATTCGCATCGTGAATAGGAAAGGTAAAGGTTCAAGTTCGCACAAGAGGAAAAGTGTGATACGGCATTTCTAGTTCCGGGAAAATTGAGCCTGAGAAAGTAGTCAGGCTGCCCTTTGTTCTTTCTTATGGTTTCTCTCGTTATATTTTTAGAATTTGGATCACTGCCAACACCTGACATACTTTCACTGCGATGAAGATGAATGCGGATACCAGTATAGTGACTCGCTTACGTTCAAAATGTAATATAATATATGTATATATATATATTTTTTCTATTTTACGTGGTTCCTATGTATATACATATGTACCGTCGCGTACTATGCGAACTACACGACGAACGAAAGTAATAAGGACCTGGGGTGTCTGGCGGACGAAGGATCGATTTTCCCGGGGCTGTTCACCCCTGTAGAACCTGCAGGTGCATCAGCCAAGAATAATGATTGACACAAATTCCACGCTATAGTTTCTTTGTTACCAGGTACGTAAGATACTATTGTTCCTGTACGTACGAACGTCACGCAGTGTATAGTTATATTGTTTCGTTAGAACTCTACCAATGATATTTTGATGATAATTTTTCTTCAAAATTTCGAATATACATAAAGTATGTTAAGTATATTTTTTATATGTTTAATGAACAGTGTATCCATATGATTGCGTGTAAATAATGTGTATACGTTGTAACAATATTCAACGGGTTTCACAATAATATTCTTTGGGTTTTGAAAATTACCTGTTGGGGGAATATTTATGAGAATAAATATGCATGCTTACGTTGACCACATCCTGCTAAATTACTAAATCTGACTGCTAATTTCCGCAGTGCTTGAAATTATCAAATTACACGAAGTAGAGATGTGCGAGGGCTGGAAAGTTCTCTGGGTGAATCCGTATTTCGAACCTGTCTCCATCCGAAGTATATACATTGATAAGACAAACCCTAAGTCTACCCTTATCATTTTACCAATTCACCTTACGTCTTGCATTTTAAACTAAATTAAATGTGGCTTGTATTTGGCAATGTTAGACGCTAACTCTGACTAATTAATATTTTCATAGAAACACATAAATGTAGCAATTTTCATAACAGTACGCGTAGCAAAGTTTTCCGTTGCCAATATTTTTTTCCAAAGGTAATAAATCGTTTTCCATTGATTGTTCGTATATTACATTTGGCAAAAGGGCATTGTCAATGGACAGTTATGCTACGGCTAATATTGTGTGACTCAATGAATTAAAAGAATAGTAATCGTTTGAAATTAAATCTCTCAAAAATATCTGCACTGATTTCACATCACTTTTCTAATATAATCGCGCTTAAGAAGTAAAACAAAGTTAGATTTACACTCATATTCTAATTTCAGATATTCTAACTTATATCATATTTTCCAATTGCAAATTTATCGGACACTCATGTATATACCTGGGGCGTTACGATGAGGTGCTGATATTCTTATTATTAAATCATAAGTTTTTAACGACTTTGTGCACATAATTTATTATATCAAATCTCGATACAGCCTATCCAAGCTATCCATAAGTGGTTTCGAGAGTAACAAATTTTATGGATGAACATAAACATATTCAAAACACATATCTTACACTATACACTATTATAGTATACAATATTTGCCCACGATTAGATAATACATAATTATTTATATTTATTACCGAAGAATTATTCATGGATGGATAATTTTATAATGAAAATTTTTTTTGGCACGAGTTACGTAGATGGATGAATTTTTGGTTATTTTTAGAATCGTATTCCAATGGTCCCTCAAATATATCCTTTATTTCGCCCCCTGTACTATATCTCAAAAGGCATCCTTTTGAAATCGAAAAGCATCCTTGGAGAGAAAGCCTTCCGATGTTAACGTAAATCGAGCAGTAATCGTTTTATACCGAGTGACTGAACGGTTCGCGCAAACGTAAATAGATATCGATCGAATTGATTCGACGTATTTTATCGAAAAGAGTCAGCATGAAAGTCTTTCAGAACGTGTTGTGCATAATAGAATAAAGAATCCTCTGCTATGACATCACAGACATTTTCACGAAGGAACATTTACAAAATTTCGATCGATTCACCCACGTGATATATAACTAAATCGGAAGCTAACCCTGAATGGTACGGGTCATAGAGCTCTCGAGTACCTTGAACGTGATGTGTGGGTTAAAAAAAGACTGTACTTTATAAGGTATGTGACGTCAACTCTTTCCCCATGGAGACTACATAAGGAGCACGAACTCTAATGGGAAAATTGACAGAACCTGCTACTAATATCGTTCACATTACGTTTTCTTTCTGTACCACCCGCGTCGCTAGTTTCCCTTTTGTACTGACGTGAATATAGCATAAAAAATATATGTGAAGTAAGCTGGCAAATATTTATAAGTAATCGCCATTACAAATTTTTATAATTTGTGTATCTAAGTTAAAGTAGGTTAAATTATTTATTTAATAATTTTCAAAGTACGCCTTATACCCATCCACTTTTTCGGTGCATACAGAACACTAGTGCCCTCTTATTTTGGGAAGCTGTATGTATACATGGAGTTCGTGCTCCTCATGTAATCTCCATGCTTTCTCCCTTGATAATATTAAGTACTCGACTTATGACTGCACTAGGAATGCTTTTAATTATAAGATTTTTTAAATTTCAAGGGTGAGAATGAATCTGGAGTATTTGTGTTTATTTTATTTTTATATATCTCTCGTAGGACGCATTTTGTACGAACTTCTTCTGCAGATACTATAACTATGTATAAAGTAATAAGGAATATTTTTTGCTTGGTAGCAAAACTAAATATGTGAACTTGTTTGGGCTGATGTCAAATATACATAATATATCCTACCATGCTGGTTATCCGTGTATGTATATGTTTTATATACTGTAGACAGTTCTTCTTCGTATTTCGAACGAAAACATTATTCAGGGATAGATAAAAAGCAGCATCCCGTATAACGAGATTCCTAATTGAAATATGTTTTATCATTTCTTAGATATTTCCGAGATGATGCTCCAATTTGAATTGTGTCATGGTTAATTTAAATTTAGCTACCCAATGTCTCAACCAATTTTTTGTTTCATTTTCGTTGAACAATTTTTCCTTTGATGGTTGGTACTGGACCAATAGAGCAATCAAAAATACGTGAGCCCGTATTACTCGTTGATTAGCCAAGTCCTTACTCAATTAGGCTGAACCTTTCCAGAAAGTAGAGAGACCCTTAATCGAGGGTTATCAGACTTTGCACGCGATTTTTTGTCCTAACAAACTCTCATTAAGAATTCGGAATTACGGCTTTCTTGTTCCTTTGGTTAATTTCTATTTGTTTGATTATGAATCCATTCGTATGTCGTAACATTGGTATGTGTTATCCCAATAAATGGAATTCAGGCTTAAGAAAATATGTAACCTTGACCGACATAAGAATAATATGACGTACGATTCGTGGTCATGCATAACGATTGATAAATATAATTTCTATCTTGCTTAGGACGCTGCAACAATTTTTGATGGTTTGTATACACTGAAAAAATTTGTATAAGAATCTGTTGGATTTAACAAGACGTCATATAATATATGTTACAGTTGCTATATCGTTTCGGGCTTAATGGCTTAGAAATCCTGTGGTATACGATGTGGTTTCAGATTTAGCTAAAGCAAAGCGTCTATTCCCATTTCAAATATAATTTGCCAAAGAAGCCGAATCGCCAGTTTCGAATAGGGATACCCCAAAATACTTTGGTGACTCTTCATTTATTTTCATGGGAGTCTTCCAATTTCAGCTCAGGGTCTTGCAAGCTTCCGTAGACCCTTAAGATTCCTTGATATCGCAGTCGATTAACCTTTGGCTCCGTATACTCCATAGTCACACTAATCCTACTACCTGTCTCTCAGACAACTATTTCATCCTCACTCTTATTTCAATAGTGTAATCGCAAAATACGCACCCTTTTGACACTTAAACAATTATTTGGCATAAAAGAAATTTACAGTGTAATTTTATGTAGTTATTTGTTTGACATATCCATGAATCCCTTTTGCCATTTTAAATCTGACTTTGTAAAGTATCAAGTACGTAACAATAGCGCTATGTCAGACTTGTAGTACTGGACTAAAGATTAAGGGCATTGTTACGGAACACAGGAAATAAAGGAGATAGGATGCTGTACTTAACTTTCCATTACAGTTGGTCCCTATGGTGCTCCACAAATTATAATCAATATAATAAAATCCTTTTTCTTACATTTTACAAGCAATTTTTGTCATTTCATCTTAATACTCTACAATTCTACTTGCTTGTAATTTAGCGAAATTCATTATTTTCATTTAGGTATTTCCTGTAGATATTTTAAATTATAATTTTTCTTAAAATCGTGATCCTTCAATTGTATCATTCTTCTGATACCTTTCTATCCACCATATAACTTCGAGATAGCAATTGCGCGATGCTCAGTAACTTAGGCAGGACGATCGATAAATTTACGCATGCATGTTGTATAATCGTATATGCGTCGCACCCTTTTTTCATGTATTTCATCATAGCAGTGACATAATAATCATTAAAATTTTCCAATACCTCAATACTTTTCGTTGCGTTATTCATACGATATTTGACAGGGTTGTCGCGTTTTATAATTTTGTAATATCGATTCTTTACGTTCGCTTTGGGGTTTCTGGAGCATACTCTAACACGCATGCCCCATGGGTAGCAATATGGCGGATGCCGTAGTGCCATGCAACGTTCTGATTTGTCACATTCGTCAAATAAGATCAGTAGAAGAAAAGTAAATAAAAATGTTTAAATAAGTAGTGTGGGCAAATCACTGCCGATGTAGAGTAAACAGCCGTTAATCATGAACGGTGATAATCGTGTAATTACAGTGTTCCTCCTGGTCGTCATATCAATCATGTTTTCCCAGGGTAAAAACTTCATGTCATTTATTATCAGCTAATCAGAATATGTTTCATTTAAAATTTCTCTCGGACTTCCTAAAATTTTATAATTAAAGTATCTATTGTTTATTTACACGAGTGTCAGAAGATTACGTGTTATCTCTGTAGGCATAAGGCTCATCCCGTTGACATATGCCTTGTGTAATAATGCCTATCAATTTCCATAAGCGTAATGTAGTGTTTGATTGAATTTCGAATATATTTTAATTATAACGTACTGATGTTATTTTATGTTAGAAAGTATTTATATTGATCAACCACATATGTAGTGACTGACAGATTTTTACCGATACTAACAAATATTTCGTTCTTTGGGTAGTGTATATTAGTTTTTAAAAAAATCATCAACCTAGTACTTATTATTTAATGACTTTTTAGGACAACTTATGTCCAAGGAGCATCGCACCCACGCAGCATCCGAACGAGCTAATGACTTATGGTGTTATCAGTGCGATACCATGGACGATGGAGAAAGATGTGTCGATTTGGCCGGAAACTACAGTTCCCTCATACAAAAATGCAAAGATGACAAAAGAATATGCATGGTAAGTTGATAATCTGTCGTATGATTTTTCTATGCTTCATTGTACAGATTTTTTAGAAATATATTAATTTTGACAGGTTAAACGCTTCTCGTATACGACCAGCACAGAAAATTCTACTTCCGTACCAATGATGTGGTCTCTGGAGAGAAATTGCACAAATAAATGCGAGCCAGGATGTATCGTGATTGGAGAACGCACAAAGCTGTATGCGTGTACCGCGTGCTGCGAGAAATCTCTGTGCAACACTGGCAAAGGAACGGCTGCAGATCTGATGAGGACGAATATTGGATTTTATTTAGCTATGATATTACAAGCGATGCTCACTGTGATAATGTATCCGTCGTGACACTGTTAATGAATGAATCTTCTATGAAAAGATAACCTTCGTTTTGAAAACATTTTTCATCAGGATTTCTTTATATGGAAATACTCTTCTTTTTAATATGCGATCACTCAAGCTTATACGATCAGCAGGCACTCAATGATTGTGTCATCCACTCTGCTGACTACTCAGTACTGACCTTCTTGTCAGCCGCACTCAACGTTGTAACTTAAGCACAAATTCAATAACGCTTATAAAAACTGGAAAATAAATAAATTGTCCCGTGTGAAAAGGGAGATTTTAGAAAAGTTTAATATTAAATTCATGCAAGGTTGTCAGCCGTAGAAGGCACGACCAATGCTGAAGATCTTGACCTTACACGAAAATGTTTTTTGGGTGGTAAATCCATTGCGTAAGGGACTACAGAAAAACAATTAGGTTAACGGCACGACATTAATCCCACTTATGTTTATACGATAGCCGTAAGTATTGAATTACGTCACGTCCTCAGTTTCAAAATTCCGTATACCATCACAAGACATAGATCTGTCCTGGCCCTTTAAGATTGATATAATATTCAAGTGATAATTTTTTGGTATTAAGTCATAAATCACTGGTTCAACAACGAATTCAATAGGTACTACGAAAATGAATAAATAAACTGACCTTAAGCAGAAGATCGTCACTTTTTATTGATCTGACATCGAAACTGGTGATCTTCAATATGGACATACAATCGCTCCGACGAGTCAGTGAACTCCGATCGCTATACACGATGGCACTATAGCTCACATAAAGCCGTCATTATTAGAACTTTGTGCGCGCCAAGATTATACGCATCTTTTATAACGACCAGAGCTTCGCATCTTACAGGCAACCATAGAAGAGACCGTACGCATTTGTGCGTAGGCATTTATACATACACATATATATATATATATATATATATATATATATATTCCAAGTATATTGGTGGGTTCTACATATGGCAGCCAGTTGCACCGAGGACGGCCACCGCGACGGCTAATGCAGCTTTTCCCTAATCAAATGTTAATTACTATCCCGTTCTTGTCATTCGTATAGCTGTAAAGCGAGCACGAGTACAACAAGAGTTCATTATGATCGCTGTCTTGCGGAGAGCTTTAAATTACGTAATTAAAATCCTATAGGGAAATCGTTTGGAATTGAACCATATTTAACAGCGAATATTGAACAAGGGTGAGACATGAAATTGGAATAGGTAGTGCAGTTGCGAAAAGTGCAATCATTGTAAAACGTGAGATCAGTTGTAATGTAATGGATACGAGAGTTATGTGAAATTGAAAAGAAATTGGATCTATGTGAAATTGTGATTACATCAGGAAGAGTAACAGCTACTTGGTCGGTGAGGTAGAGAGCTGTGAGTAGGAAAATATCTGGCTGAGGAAAAAAATCAATGAATGATTTTCTGAAAGAGCATGAAAATTCGCTTGATCGATAACTAGTTTTACTGTACGATTGACTGATTCTATTTCGTCGTAGAGAAGATTCAGTGTTCCAGTATTGAGCATCCTTAATTGTCCGACTCGGTATGGATCGATTAACGTTTTCACATCGTTTTGTCTTAATGGGATGTCTGCTGGGAATAGCGATCGCTTTGCTGGATTCAGAAGAAGGTCCGCAGCCTGGTATTAATGGCGAGATCGTTTACCCAAAGATAATTCATCGGGATGAATATCGTAAACGACGCTCCGTTGAGAACGACGAGACGCTTATATGGATATCGTTGAAAAATTGGACATTAGAAACGAGACTAAACGATCGTCTTATAGTGTCACCAGACTTTCTTGTCCAATGGATCGGTTCGATGGAATATCAAAAATCAAGAGATTCCAGTGATAATATCCCTACAAACTGTGAAGTTCGTCATGGTTTTGTGATAAGTCAAAGATCAACCGTTGCCTTGACACTGTGCGACAGAGAGATGTACGGTTTGGTCCACATTGAGAATGTGTCGTTTTTTATTCAACCCTTAAAAGACGGACGGCGTCACATTCTCTACGAGTCAGCGACCCCGACGAAGTGGAAGCTGGAAAGAGGAGCAGATGGTTACGTCTCGTTGACGCGTAACGATAACGAGTTTCATCAAAATCGGAATTCAAAAACGAATTTAGTTGATGAAAATCGAGAGAGATTTAAAAAAAGTAGAGGAAATTCGAATTTGTTAAACGGATCGAAATACATAGCGAAACTTGAGAGTGGCTTAAATCAGCAGGAAGATGCTGGGAATGAGAATGCTTTAAAATCAAATGAGGTCAAGGAGAGAGTCGATAATCTAAATTGGAGAGGCAATTCCCGTGCGGATGTTAGCTCTCCAATGATGGGTAATTTAAATTCAATGGAAGAAAGGGACGGGATGGACCTAAAGGACACGAAGCTGATTGAGAATAATGAGAATCATATGAGCGAGAGAATTTCTTCGTACGAATTAGGAAAACTTAATTTCAAATCTCTTATGAAAGAAGGAATCGATAGGCTATCGTTTGTTTTTGGTACAGAGGATGCTGAGGACAATGGGATATTCGCGAACGAAATCTTGGAGCGTTTTCGGGGGTATCTTAACAATATTATACTGTACGTTGGGAATTTCAATATATCGAGAGTAAATGAATTTTCAACGAGAGCCTCGGGACATGGTCCTGGATCCGAGGAAGAAGAGGATTTGAATCTAAAATTGGTGGAGGGTTCCATGAGGTTAGGTGGTAGGGAGAAAATCGACTACAGGAGCCACAAACGAGTCAAACGAGATTTGATGATCTGCAATACGAGGGAGTTCTATAATTTAACGGGAGATATGATTGATGTTGAAGCTGAGGTAGAGGAGGAAAATAAAGATGAAAAGGGTAAGGGAGGATCTGGGTACGAAGAAGGAGAATCGGTGGATGCGAAACTCCCATTTGAGGAAGATTCCGAGCATATTGGATATTTCTTTGATCGGGCGTGGGAAAGAGATAAATTGCCTAGTAAGTAAAACCAAGATAAAGTGAAATAATATCTATTGCAGGTACAAGTCAACGCTTCCTGAGAAATGGCTGTATTCGCAGAGCTTTCGCTTAGGTGTTAAATATTGAAAGAGAAAAATAATACAGAGACATTTATTTTGCATCGACCTATAGTGGCGTTATAAATAAATTCCAGTTTAAGATATTTTACTTGTTATGTTTTATTGTCGTTGAAGCGTAAAACGAGACCGAGCTTTCACGTACAAAATGTGAATTCTTTTAAATCTATTTGAAATAATTTTTAACAAATATTTTATCAAACTACCGCATACACCGTGATTATTATTTTCTTGTTGCATAGAACGGAAAACTGTAAGCGAAGAAGCTCCACCTAGATGGCTTGAAATTGGAATTGCAGCTGATTACTCGGTTGTTGATTTTCATGGTGGCAGAGTTCAACAATATATACTTGCGCTATTAAATATTGTGAGTATACGAAATTTTTTCATAATTTCCAAAATCCAAGGTATTTTGCAGAAGATGGTTAATATATTAAAAAAGTAACAGTAAGAGGTTCAACTTATCAAATTTTGTATCTTACGCATCTATAAATCCATTAAGCCTTCTAACGTGCGTTTATTGGCTCTACATGTTTTATTTATGATAATTTTTAATGGCACCCTTAAATATTGATTCAGTAGAAATTTGTTTGAAGTTTCTTAGGAGGATATTAAATAGATATATCTATATGTATCAAGTAGCATATTGTTGCTAATGCCTGAACACTTTTGTCTTAACGACAGTTAAACTAGGAAGGTATAAGAATATGGTCTAATAAAGTTAATAGAGTAGTTAGGTAATGGTTTAACTTCAGCTGATTAAGGTACTATAAGGCTAGTGAGAGAAGCACCGACGAAGTTGAGCTTACGAAGGTAAGTTTGTCCACCTGGAGCGTTTTATTTAAAAGTTCCATTCGTGCGAAGTTATAACAAAGAAAATAAGACTTGAGATTAAAATAATTGTCGAATAATCCAAACTAAATAATCATCATCAGACATACAGTCTGTGCATCGGCTCTATATTTCGCATAATTGGATGAGAAGAATTTCTTAAGCAGAAAAGATGGTTTCTTTCTACTTCAATATAAAATTGATGGAAATATATCGATTATATATTTTTAAAATAATTTATTTATTCTACAGGTAAGCGCAATTTACAAGGATCCTTCTCTGGAGTCTAATATGAAGCTTGTCATAGTAAGAATGATATTCTACGCTAAAAAAGAAGACAGTATGGCAAGTATTATAACACTATAATTATCATTATAAAAACAGCAGAATAGATTGGACATATTAAAATAATAAATATCTGATTTCATTATTTTTCCTAAGATTTTTTAATTTCAATTTCAGGTACGTAGCGGAAATGCTAGACGATCTTTGGAAAATGTTAACAAGTGGAATAGAAAGCTGTTGTCATCTTCGGAGGAAAGTCACGATGTTGCTGTATGGTTAACCAGATTGGATATCGGTGGACCATCCGGATACGCTCCTGTGTCAGGTGCCTGTGATCCAGCACGGTCTTGCGCCTTGAATCGTGATGAGGGTTTAACTAGCGCTTTCATCATTGCCCATGAAGTGGCGCACATGTATGTAAAGTATAAAAATGAAAGGATAATGGTAACGTCGTTTATTTATGTGGTGCAGTTTAGGATTGTCCCACGACGGGGATGAAAATGCTGGAAATACTTGCGGGGATGAAGCATCTTTTGGAAGTGTCATGGCTCCTATGGTGGCAGCAACGTTTCATCGCTTTCACTGGTCAACATGCTCCAAACGAGAATTTCACCATAGAGCAAAGTACAGTTTTTATCTGTAATACAGGTTGTATTCAATTTATCCAAAAAAGAGAGACTGGCTTAGGTCATTCCTTTTTATAGACAATGGTCTTGTCTTCTCAATGCACCCGATAACACTAATGCAACAGATCTGAAGGCAACCCTACAGGATACGTTTACAATGGACGAGCAATGTCGTATGGAATTTGGTGATGGGTATAATTCCTACTTTACTCTCTGTTGAATATCATTTCTTTGCACCAGAGAATATCAGTGTATTTCTTTTCTGACCGTAGATATAGTTTGTGTAGAAGCTTTGATTTACCCGAACCGTGTTCGCATCTGTGGTGTGGTCATTTGAATTCTTCTCAAGTTTGCAAGACTAAAAAAGGTCCTCCACTGGAGGGTACTTCGTGTGGAGAAGATAAGGTAATCAAATGAATAATTTCTTATAATTTAGACAGCTATCATTATTACTGTATTACATCGTTCCAGTGGTGCATCAATGGCTACTGCGAGCCAGTGGACCGTAAAAGATTTGGATTGGGACCAGTGGTTCATAATGCACGTGACGGTGGTTGGGGCCCATGGGGCGAATGGGCAAAGTGTTCTAGAACTTGTGGCATCGGTGTGCAATTTCGATCCCGTAAATGTAATAAGCCTACGTAAGTACAAAAAACAAAGTATGAAAAATTGTTCATAACGAAAAGCCATATTTATAAATTTATAGACCTGCCTATGGTGGTATCGTTTGTAAGGGTAAACTCGAAGAATTTCGCATATGCGTACAACCAGATTGCCCTAAACCCATAGATCTCAGGACGAAACAATGCTCCAGATTAGCAAGTCTGATGGATTTCAAATTTACCTCAGCCAGGTACAATATGACTTGGCTGCCATACGAACCCGATCAAGAAAGTTTAAAATGTCAATTGACGTGTCGCAGCAAACAAAGTGGTGAGATTTTTTTCAGTGGTGAAAATCTCATTGATGGTACACCATGCTCTTATGGGAATACTGATATATGCATTCAGGTATGATATTTTCATTGATTATGAGAATTTTATACGATTCATTCTCAATAAGCAATCCTTACCAGGGTAAATGTCATGAAATGGGATGCGATAACATCTTAGGTTCTAGAAAGAAACAGGATACTTGTGGAGTATGCGATGGTGATAATTCAAACTGTAACAACGTCACTAATAAGGTTCAACGTAAACTAAGACGAGGTAAGTTAAAGCCAAGAAGATCGCTTTGTCATACATACATATGTTATAAAGGACAAAGTTTACCTGCGAAATTTCTGTTAGTAAGTGAAGTGCATATAACTTTGTAGCTATGACAAGAGTCGCCGTGGTGCCACATGCTGCATACAATATAAGGGTTGATGTTACTGTACTGCAGGCACCGGCTGATTATAAGGAAAACGTCACTATCACCGTCAGAGATAGAAGAAGACGTAGAAACGACGTGAAGGGTTTTGATTCAAGAGGTCGTGGACAAATTTTAATAGTGGAAGGTGCAGCTTTCCGACCTCAAAAGCTGGGCGATACTTACACCATGTGGGCCAAAGGACCTTTATTTGCAGAAATAGTAGTATCGGTATGTTTTATACTGTTTTAAGATGACAAGACGAATTTTTATTTCTTTATTCGGATGTGATCAACAGATTGCCATACCTGAGAAGGTTGTCAAGCAAGGTGTATCCGTATCGATATTTTTGAAGTATACGTTAAATCGCAATGATCGAATTGCTGCTGAAAGATATTCATGGCTACCGGGTGGGTGGGGTCCATGTAGTGCAAGTTGTGGTGGTGGTACAAGGCAGAAAACAGTTGCGTGTAAGGATGAATATACAGGGAGGATTGTTCCTAAGAGAAAGTGTCCTTTAAGCCTGAAGCCTGTACAGGATGTTGAGAAGTGTAATATATTTAGGTATGGAAAATCAATTCGATATTAGCATCTATACATATTATGAATAACGATTATGTAAATTTTTATTGACAATTCAGCTGCGATTTCAAATGGCTGTCAGGCCCTTGGGAAGGCTGTTCAGCTACGTGTGGTAGCTCTGGCGTACAGTATAGACAGCTTTATTGCGTTCATTCGTCTTTTAACGACAGCTATTTTACAAAGGATAATGAATTAGATGTATACAGGACAATGATGCCTCCTACATGTTGTAGTAAACGGAGCCCTGGCAATAAAAGGGAATGTAATAGAATACCTTGTCAGGGACGATGGGAATTCACCGATTGGTCTTTGGTAAGAAGATATAATGAAAGTTGTATCAAAATGAACATCAAGCAGGATTGTAAAATCATATTTTTTTTTATAGTGTTCGCAATCGTGTGGAAGAGGTATCCAGTCTAGGATGGCTCGTTGCGTTTCTTCACATGGCGAAACTTTGTTTGATTGTAACGGTTCCTTTATACAGGACGAATTAAGAGCATGCAAAGGATACGCAAGAAGGACTTCCGACTGTATTAAATCGTGTGAAAATGATACCAGTGATTATTGCGTCGTACCGAGTCTCAGACGTTACTGCGAGGTTCCAGGATACAGACGAAGATGCTGTCGATCTTGTGATAAAGCGGATTTTGATATTTGATAGCAATTTACAATTTAGGATGTTAGTGTGGCTAATGAGTTGCTACAGACGGGCTCAGTTTAGTATTTTTTCATGGTATTTGCTAATAAAGTGGAATTACTAATATATAGAATACATTAATATGTTACATAGCTAGGAGTAGGTTGAGCGTAGAGACACTTATTCGCGGTGACAGACTAATTATTATTCGCAATTTATACCAAAGACATTTCTTTATCAGGAACCAATATAGGAGAGGCCAAAAATAATATTTCACTGTCAAACGAATTAGTAATACACTAGGGTTTATTGGTAGCCGAAGTGTACAATGAATAGTGACATCGTTAGTGCTAATTAATGAAAATACAATAATTTCAAATAAAACGATACGATACATCGTTGCAGCATTATAGACACTACGAAGCCTCTCTCGGAAAATAAACGAAGTACAAGAGATGTGGCGCTCAAAACAGAAAACATGACGCTATCAAAGTTTATTCAGGAAAGATGTTATTGGAGTAGATGCAAGACTCCTAAATATGGTAGAAATAAAAATCTGCGTCAAGCGCGAGTATTCAATGTTTAAAAAATTCGTAACAATAAGAAAAAAATCACTGTGTATAAGTGATGAACGCTTAGATCTTAAACTCGCGCATTTAGCAGTCAATTAAAAATGTACCATATGAGAGTTTTCTTAAAGTTTACATTGTATCCTTTAAGGTTCAATTAAAATAAGATATTTTTGGTTGATCGTACATCTATATCTGGTCACACGCGTGATTTTAATAATTAATATTTGTATATTCTTCATTCATTTTCTATGATATCCATGCGATATGTCGAATATTTAATATATCCTGTAAGAGCCAGTATATCTTCGGTAAAGTCAGTATGTGACGTTTGACTGACTAGAAGCGTCCAATTTGAATGTTACACAAGACTCCGCGTCGACGACACCCGGTATATCTGTATACTGAACAGAGTAATGCCCTTGTACATATTCTCTATTCGTATCAATAATTTTAATATTGTCTGTTTTTTGAACTACGTCCGTGACGACGCGCAATGTACGTATGTAGGTTTTATTACACACGCATAGAACTTATCGCACAACAAGAAATTTCATAGCGATGGTCATAGCAACGGAGTCATGTTGTATGTATTTGATGTTTGGTGCATGAACATGCAATAAAATGTCGCGTGTAATTATGTGTATATACCTATGATTTATATATATATATATATATATCACTAATTGTTTAGGTGATATTTTTCATATTTTATGCATATACTATATATATACTATATATAATTCTAAGTATAAATAATGTATACAAAAATATGAATATGAATTTGGGAAGGCAAACTTTCAATCATAATGAGAGATTTGCTTCGTCACCTTGTTGGCGACGAAATGAAATCCACCTTCTAAATCATTGGGTTAATTCTAATGTAAATTCAACTCAAGCAGAATACACGTCTCTAGATGCTGATAAGAGTGGTCGGTTCAAGAAATCAAATAGTTAACAATCTCACAAATGTCGACCCTACGTATTTTGTTTTATTAGAACGTTGTCGCGGGTTGATATAACGGGGAACGCATTCGCGACAACCTATAAGAATTCATGTATTCATATTACGGTTTTATTTTTCAACAAACATTTTTACTCAATGCAAACTCCGAGGTGAGTGAGGTGTTCGTTTACAGGCCAAAGTTCCTTAGCCCTTTCAGACTCAAGCTTAATCATAAAGAAAATGAAGTTTTATTTTAGCGCAGTTGAGAAATTAATGGTTTCTCTCTGAAATCACTTGTATCGAAAGGATTAAGGATGGCTACTCTAAGTATTCGAAGTATCGCGTACATGTAAAGAGCTCCCTATCAAATACAGTAGTCATTCTTATCCCTTATTGATTTAAAAATAACGAAGTTCGATTTTACACTCGTTATTAAAATTGTTTCGACTTTACAAATAACTGTATGCATTTATAGTCGCGCGTTTTACAAGAGGCCATTCCTACGTAGATATATTTGTAAGAAAAATGTATTGTTGAGCCACGCAATGGGGCATCGTGCGCATAGGATATACAGCGATGACGTGTGCGAACGTCATCGTAACATTGATCGTCGTTACATTCGTAGCATGACAACTTCATATCAATAAATTACTAAATGTTATTATACACTACTTACACATTAGCCTAGGTGAACTTATACATTATTTTTGGTAGATGCAATGTTATACAAGATCGTCGTTAAATATTATTCTCTCGAGGCTATCGAGTATCCGAGTGCATGCGTGATTGTTATCAATTAAAATCAAATGTGATACCGTATTCGGAGGAAGACCCATAATCGCTTTCGACACTTTGCTCGTCGTAACATTTCGTTAGTCGACAGAGATACGTATTATGTAAATGTTTAAAACCTCTTATCAATATTTATTTCGGTATCGTATCTAATCTAATGTCACAATTTCAAGGAAGTATAGCAATTTCATCCCTCAAGCAATAATTCGATCGCTACGATGCAATTTCATTAGCATTCACTTGACTTCCGGTCTACCTTTTTTTTTCCAATGCAACGGAAGTGATGTTCGGTCTACCTATGATCTCCTCGTTCGTACGAGATCGCGCCTTGTGTTCTCTCACAATCTTTCCACGTAATTTCCAGGGAAGGTACCGAAGTAACCGGTTCGTTGGCTCGAGCCGACGTACCAACCGTCGTCACATTTTTCCATCACATACACCGTATCGCCTTCTTTCAATTCCAGTTCATCTTCATTCTGCGGTCTGTAATTGTAGAGAGCACGATACCTGCGACCATGAGGGAAAGACTGTTTAATACCAGAGATAGAGCCATGTGTCACGGTACTCAATGTTCCGAGAAAGAAACAGAGTTCGACAACGACAAATGTCTGTTACGTTAATAGAGTTTACTTACGGTTGAGGCTCTGAGTGGGTATCGATGTGTAATGTCTCGTTGACAGGAGCTACGTGTAATTTGTTCCCTCCCATACGTGGCTATTTGAAAAACAAGTGATAATTAGTACGGCTGACTTGACGCCTTAGAAGAAATTGTAATTTTTTTATCGATGATACAGGCAGACTAGAATAACAATGTGCCTAATGTATTACTATTTTGGAATGACTTGTTATTGAATTCTAGGTATAATATTTTTCTAATGAATTAGATAGCATTTGTGATACACTTTAATACATTATTTAATCTCTTCTCTTTTGTTTTATATAATACTAGGTCAACTCAGTAGCAGGGACTGTAAATACTTACCAGTGAATTGTAATGGGGCTGGGTTGTGGTGGGGTTGACGGGGATCGATGGGGTGTAATGATGAGCTCCCATGCTCATTTTTCCACCAGCCGATCCATTAGAGAGCAGACTGTGTGCTGCGGGTGAAGCAACGGGTTTACTCTGAACGGGAGTTTCTGAAATTCAACAAAATATCAGCCAAAGTTGTTTAACTCATTTCGTAAAGTTTTCTCAGCCGGAAAAGCGAGCGCGTGCACAGTGATTAGAAACGAATGCTGAAGGATTGATGATGTAGCCACGAGGAAAACAAACTTTCTTTTTTAATTTGGGAAACGTACAAGACTATCCGGTAGAGCTATGTGAAGTACTCACGAATAAAAGTGACGAGTTATTCACGAGGAAGAATTTAGTGACAGTTCTGCTAGGCTATTCTATTTTTAAGAATAATTTTCAACCCTACAGAAGAGAGAATTATATGAGAAGCATGAGAGATGAGAGGATGACGTATCAGCTGAAAGCGACGAATACGTTTAATTATATGTATATGTTAATTTCTATAACAGTACCTGGCCTGTGACCTGGCTCTACGATCACTTCAACGTAGGAAATTGGGAATATTCCTTTCCTATTACCAATCCGTCCTTCGTACCAATTTTCATCTACCCGTCGTGTCAGAATAACCATTTCACCTGAAAATATACACGAGTATATGAAATTTTGCTTATAATCGATAATGATAGCATTAATGATACTATATGAAGGTATATGACTATACCTTTGGTTAACGATAATTCCAGATTTGTCTGAGCGACGAAATTGAATTTTGCGCGCGCCTGTCCCTCGTGTGGCTTCTTTGGTGTTGTCCTTATTCCATCATACGGGAGAATCTAAATATTTGAATATAAAATTATGATATTAATCAGTGCGGTCTATTAATACGTATCAAGAACGAGTCACGTAATACAATAAAAAGGTCATTACCTCAACATAATTAAACGGGAATAATCCCACCATGGCATTGTGCTCTCCCTCGTACCAATTCTTATCAACTTGACGACGTACGAATATAATATCGCCACGTCGGAAAGTCAGTTCCCTGGAAGACTGTCCTACAAAATTATAAAGAGCCCTTGCAACCAGACGTGGCTCAGGTGTAACATCCTGATGAGATCTCCCACGATGACTGAGGTCATCGATAAAATCATCGTATCTGTTCAGCGGTATTGGAGACTTCTGCGAAGGTCTGAAATAATAACGTAACTGTTATTGACCCTGTAACTTTTAACCATTCACTGCAAGAAACTCTGTCCGATATTGCGTCACGATTATACAAGAAATTGCAACAGACAAAAAGGAACGAAAAAAAAAACTTCAAGGATATATTTCACATCCAACTCACTGATTTGTCACTTCAATTTGTTGCAGTAGCCAACAATTGTTTGACATCTCAGCAATATCTTCACAACTTGTACTACCAGGTACTTGGAGTACTTGTTACTGTACTAACGGTAGACGCGTTTACTCTCTGCGAATTAAATGCGATACTATCGTACAATTCTACAGGTACTACCCACTACTGGCACCGAAAGAAAATGTTTAGTTTCACTCGTTGTCATAACGCGAGTTAACGTTTCTCCTCCACTTATGAACTGCGATGTTCATCGCGCGTAAAGTTACATGGATCGTGTGAACTAGATGTGTTTTTATCGTAATAAACTTCGGCATGGACTATAATAATTATGATATATCGATATATTATATACCGGCTATAAATAATGAAATATTTGCAATATATTTATATTATGTATCAAATGTTACTATATCTGTAAAAAAAAGTGTCAAATATTATAACAAAATTATACCGTATACCCTAGTATCACGATTAAACTGTAGAAATATATTTCCTTTCATGTATTTTGAGGAACAGATGTATACGGTTAATTATATCGTGTAAACATTACGCATATCATCAAGATACTTCGCGTAATATTAAAATATAATTAATGGTTTATAAAAAAGTCTGCATCATTCACGTGTCATTATTGAATTACATGAAATATATAGTTCGTGTCTATGCGCTTTAGCTCTGTGCTCTTTACAGTCTCGAGTTCACAGTACTCACATAAAATTGTCCGTATGACGTCGTGAATCGATATCGTGCAGCTCTTGAAGATATTTGCGACGTCTTTCTTCCTGATAAACGCGACGCATATTCTCGGCACTTCTGCGTGCAAGTTCCTCCTCGCTCAATGGTTCCTTCGCCTCTGTGCGCACTGGCGAGCGATAGTGAATCGTCACCTCACCCTCAACATAACGTCTTGGCGATTCTGTTGACGAAAACAATTAAAGTTGATGAACGTCAGGAATTAATAATCGGGATATAAGGTCTTGAGAATATACATAGACTTTAGTACAATACAGGACATTGTAAGCTGCTACCATTAGAACATGTAGGAATGTACATTTTTTATGTGAATTTTAATGTGAATATTTTTTGTGAAATCTTGAGGAATATAGAAATTATTTAAAATTAATGGAGCTGCTGATCTTTCATTTTCTCCAATGCAATTTAGTAACGATGTACTTAGTAGAAAAGGAAATTCCGAATATGTAAAACAAATGAGAGAAACTTACAAGCTCGTGTGTGCTAGATTGTTGAGAAATGTATAAAGAATGTATAAGAAATATATTATTTTTGTTGAAGAAAGAAAATTCAAAAATTTGAAATTTGTCATTTTGAAATTGTAGGTGAAGTAGTGTAGTACGTATCTTTTGCCGAAGTGTACTGGTTACTTTGAAGTTGATTATATTAATTTTATCGAAAGTAATTGACACCACAAGTTCGAGAAAGTTATAATAGGATACGTTACAGGGTATAAGTACTGTTTTGTATCCACTCTATGCCAGATTATTTCTGTAATCGCAAGGGTCACTGTCCCTTAATTACACCTCTTTTAATTATAGATCAGTGCATGAAAGTTCCAATTAGACATTGATTACAGGAACTCCTTATGTCGTGACTGTTTCCTGTGCCGGATGTATTATGATGAAATTTCTAAACCTCTGCTTGTGTTTTTAAAGTTAAAATTATCATACAACTTTATCGAGTAGTACAGCTTCCGTTATCCCATATAAAACAAACGAAATGTTTCACCCTGACATTTAACGGCTGACCCGCACTATCACCAGACCAGAAGTACACAATCTTCAAGTAGAATTTAACTATAAAGCGTTAAGGTTAACATTTGATCCGTTCATTGACGCATTTCATGTGTTGAATATAATTTAATATATGTCTTGGTATTCTATAGAAAAATAATAATTAAAAAGAAAATGCTTCATAATGACTGTAATAATGGTCGGCACGTGTACTGTGTATACAGAAGAGCCATATTGCATTCTTAATGACGAGACAGTTACGCGTTGGATAATTAATGGAAAGTAAATTAAATGAGAATTTCGCGGAGGAAGCATCGTAAAAGTATGCCAACTTTTACATTCCGTTCTAATCATGACCTAATGCTAAAGGCAAGACGTATAGTCCTTAATCATTGGTGTCATTAACGAATCAAGAACACGTGTGCTCCCGTATATATTTGGGCCACGAATTAAAACCACTTTACAAAATGCTGTTTATTATTGTAACGGTGGCCATTGTTGTCGGGCATTAGAATTGACATTTATTGGCCGTGAACGTAATTAAGGCTCCAGCGCAGCATCACGAACGTACGATTATAATTGTGATCTTCTGCACGGCTCGATGCCTTATACTGTTCATATACTCTATTTCTTTTTAATTGATCGGTAGTGATTCGAACGAATATCAAATTACAATAATATCATTACGTAGTAGAATATTTGTTTTTACAAAGCCAAAGGAATCCCTTGTAGCTGGGTACGTGGGGTAGAAAAAATTGGATCGCCAATAAATGACCTACATTTCTCTAAGCCTAACCAAGTCTCTGGCGATTATAAGGTTTCGTATTACAACGGTCCGTTGATCCTAAGGAGAAACAGAGAGGGAGTGACAGCACTAGTAGAAATTGAGAAAATTTCATTTTCAACGAATAATTTCTTTTTTACCTATTTCCTATGTTAAGTAAAATTTTCTCATCGATTGCATATCACCCTGTAAATATTATTTATATTTAATAACTGTATGCCATAAATTTCGTATGAATTATCAGTGCTATTATTTAAACAGTCAACTGACCAGATGGTTTCTGACGAATACATAAGATGTGATTTCTTTTTTTGCAAATCTAATATTCACGAATGCAGGGAATTAAAATAGTTGGTATGACTCAGACTCATATTGCATAATGAATACCGTTGCCGTACGATTTGGTATAAAATTACGCACTTACGACACCAGTGTATTTGTTATAGCCGTGAGGAAATATACGAGTTTTGCAGTTCCTAAAAAAATTCAGTTCGTGTGTAATATTTTAATAAATATTTAATTCTTCCTGTTCCGTTGAAAATATGCAATATCGAACACGTGGAAAGCGGAAATAGCGAAAGAGGAAACTTGCGATTAGTAATTCCAAGAAAAAAAATTTCTACGCGTTCAGCATTCCTGCTATGAGGAATTTCTTTAACGCGTGGTATACGCTAGCAGTTTATTTAATCTAGACTGTCCCATAAATAATCATTGCCACTTTTACAGCATAACTGTCTGACAGAGCTGTGTACCAAAGCCGTGTAACGTGATGAGACAAAACAAATGACGCCATCTAGAATTCCAATTTTTCATTAGAGCAAAAGTTACGAACGGTATTGGAGTAACTCTGCATGTCTGATTAATTGTACCAAACATTCACTATTCCCTGAACATACTATAATCATCTGTCGCGGGACTTTAGTGACTCTAAATCGCTTACTCTCAGCAACCCGTGCATATTTATGTTCCTTTTTGCGCATATATGCACCTTAAGCTCCTAAAATAACATGGCATACTATACACACAGTATACACGATCCCTCTTGAACGTAGCGTTACCAACTAAACTAGACTAGATGATCACGATACTAAAAGTTCTCATTTTTACTGCGTTTTTAATTAACAATGCAACAGCAACAAAAATTGGATAAATTCCTAATACGTGATGATCATACGTATACGCATGCTATTGTAATAAATCATTAACGATCAAAGTCAACGTACAATGATCTCAACATACCGTGACGTGAGTAGCGATGCTCACCCTTAATAAAATTCTTAACTAATTACGGTAATTAACACTGGTACTAAGTAACACGTCCAACACAACGCGTAGCGATGATACAACTGATATCATAGAAAGATGCGACATAACGTAGTGGCGCTACGGTGAGAGTGTGCCTGTCACGCGTCTGCGCTGAGTTCACACTGGGCGACTGTGATGATCGTGAAGCATGGTACTACGCAATGAACACCGCATACGTTACACGTTGATTTTGGTACATGAAAATAAAGCCGCTTCACTTCGATGACGACGATCTTATCAGAGCCAACGATCTCTGGTCTGCGTAGGTGACAATGGTTGTTACGAAATTCTACATGCAGCATCCGTTTTGGTCTCTTTGACAGCTATAGCAAAATGAACGACAGTGTTGCCACGCATTTCCTATAAGCTGAGCACGTGGCGTCGAATCGCTGGCTTTGCAGCCCGTTGGAAATTCCAGTCAGAATACACTGCAAGTGCGATTAACGTTGGGAAGCACAACGTGGGAATTCTAATTGAATTTGAATTCTAGAAATTCACGAGGAGTTTCGCGGAAGTGATAAATATTTGCTACTATTAGTTAGTGTAATATATCATGAGAAATGTGTCGTATATGTTTTATGTCTGGTTATCGGTATGTCCGGATCATTCGTCATGTGTTATAACGAAAAGTGATGTTTTTTTCGGTGTATGTTATCATTAGAGTAAGTAGTATAAATATCGGAACACTTGTGTCTATATCTAATCTATATGAGGAGACTTAGACGGATAAAGTATTCAAGGACTTCATTAAGTTTTGAGTCTGTGACATCTTACGTAATACGAGTGGTAAATGCTTTGTAATGGATATTACATTTTTGAGTGATTTAGGCATATTAATATTTTTTTCTTAAACAGTAATGTAAAGAGAGTTCATATTTCTATTGTTATGCCTGTATCGTTAGCATATTCCTTTAAATGAGAATTACTTCATTAGAAGTAAGTAAATTTGAATTATATGCATGGGAGCTAGTGGGTTGTACAAGACTGTCATTCCTTTAATGATAGTCGTTTATGTGATGGAGGAGATGTTACTTGTTCTATAATTTGAATTATATGTGGACTTGACATATGTAATTTGAGCTGCATAGTTGGGACTGTACAAAAATAGATCGTACCTAGTAAATTTAAAAAAAATCTATTTGTGTACTGACTGTATGGTATCGGGCCATAAACCAATGGAAGCGTGGTTCCGGTCCCCGGAGTAAGTCTGCCACTCGACTTCCGGTGATCTGACAGAGGACTCACGGTACCGCTGTTCGATGCACTGTCAAAGCTACCCAGCCGTGAATGCTGGTCACCATCGGTAGAGTAGTTGGTAGAACGTATATCCACCATTGAATTTTTGAAGTTGTTCACTAATTGTGGAGACTGTAGTTCACAGGCTCTGGATATATCGCCGCAAGATTTATTTAAAAATCTTGAGCAAATTAGTCGAGGCCTCTCTTTAGTATTTTTATTAGGATTTCGAATTTTATCAGAATTCAAGGTTGATACTGATGATGGTGAATTGTTTGAGATTTTTAAAAAATCTTTACTATCTCTTATCACGGTTTCTCTTTCTCTTGTGAAAGTGTCAAATGGCGGGCTGTCGTCACGAATTACGGTAAAAACACCAGTCATTGGCCTATCATAATCTTGCAGGAGGGACACGTCAACGGTATAATTCTTCAACATTGATCTTTCCTCTTCATCATAATCGGACAAGTCACATACTTTTGATAAATCCAGAGGAGGGGGTATGATCTTTTCAATTCGACGTTTTGGAATTTTTGGGACTTTTGATTCCTCGATTGATGACTCGCGTAAGTGACTGTGTGCTGTGTAGAAATTTGGGACGTATTCTTTGTATAGTGATTGTGGTTGAGTCTGGTCCAAATAATTTTTACCATAGTCATGAGAGAGTTTAGATCCCGACAGATCTATCATGGACCCATTAATCGACAGTCTGGTTACAGAATTCGTAGAAAATTGTGGTTGATTAAGGATCGCCAGATTGGGTAAAGATTTTCGAAAATCATTGGACATACTTGATTTATTGTTTACGTCTGAGAAATCGTAATTGCTTCTTCTCGTTAGAACAGATGACTTAAGACGATCATTACGAATAGTATTTCGATCAGTAGTTGAAGATATGGAGTCATTCATCGATTGAGAGTCAAGGTAAGATCGATTAGCCTTTTGTTCTTCGATCCGAGATTCGAGACGGTCCAGCAGCATAAGACCATCTGATTCTGGATTATAATTCGGACTTCTAAAAATTTGTTGATTCTCGTACGACGTCATCGAAAGTGATCTGTCATTCTCATTATCGATGTTAACAGCATCCTCATCATTGACCGCGTAATTCATGGTAAATAGTACATTTTCGTGATTTTCAAATTTCTCAAAATCTTTCAGTTTTTTAGCGTCGTTTCTATCCTGAAAATTTGGCAGCATCTCATAAGTATTTTCAGTTTTACTTGGCAGAGAAATCTTTGAGAAATTCTTAATATAATCCGTTTCGATTCTTGGTAGATTGTTAAAACGAGGCTTGAACTCGTCGTTTGAATTTCTCTCGTTGTCATTAAAATAAACAGTGCGACTGATCGTTTGTTCAGATCGATCAATCTTATCCAAGGATTGTATATTCTGAGCTGAGTCATTAAGAGATACGTTATCTGCATTATTATGATGCTCATTAACGTCGAGAATTGGCTTAGTTCTCGGCACTGTATTATACTTCCCTTCCGATTTCGAACCGATAACTTCAGTGAAGTCCTCCTGCCTCTTTAGTGAAGCATACTTCACCTTATTCCTTTGCATTGCATTTGCGTAGGTTTCCTCAGCATCTAGTGGTTCGGGCGTGTTGCCAATGTCACTGTGCCCATCTTGAAGTTTCCTACTAGCCACGCTACTGTCAGCCGAATGATTACTTTGACTAGTGACTGTCTCAGTGCTACCGAATCCATTTCCTTCTGGAATTCCAGGCTTCCCAAGCACTTTATTCTCACGTTTATCAACGTCGCTGTTCTTATTTACAGAAACACTGCCTGGCATGTTAGCAAAAAATTGTCTCCTTAAGTGTCGATTGTGTTCGAATATTTCATGCAGTCTTTCTCTACTTCCAAGAAACTCCGATTCTTCCTGCTTGAAAAGATTCACCATATTAGATTTAACGTTCCGATTAACGTCAGTAGGGCTTTCCTTTGGTTTACTCGAATCTTTCCTCTCTTTGTTCTCTCCAGCATTATGGAATGCTTTTGATTCGTTAAAATTCGTATTATTTTCCTTATTTAGACGTTCTGTACTCTCATAATAATTCGGACAGCTATTCTTAGCGCGATCGTAATGAAATTCCTCGTAATTATTATTACCGAAGTATTTTCTCTCGAATTCCGTTCTTGGCTTCCAACTCAATCTCTTGTCCACCAAGGCAGCACGATCTACCGAATGATCCATCTGGCTTCTGTGGTTCTTTGTGAGGTGATCGCTCGTCGTCACGCGCACGACCAGTAGGTCAGTTTTTTGGGACTCGGGTAAAGAACGTCTGTTGATAGCGTGTCTCTTGAAATCCGAATCCTGGGTCCGAGTCCTCATCAAGACTCTATTTCTTGGATGCATTCGTTCCAGTTCGTTGATGTCGCTCCTCAGACTATTCCACTGTTGACTCCTCTCCAAGTCATCAACACGTGGGTAGAGCGGAGAACCCGTAGTTCTTGGCGACATTACACGCTCCATTGCCGAGCACATTAACAATATCGATAATACAAAATCCAAGGACACTCGCGCACACTGGGTTTTGGTTTTATTCAACAATTGAATAGCGATTGTCAAATTTGCCACCTTTCATTGTCAATCTGACGTCACTGTACGATCTGACGAATGTAAAAAAAATAAACGTTCGAACGACGAGATTGCGAGTTATTGCGTCGTATAAGAAAACAAAAGTTATTCTTCGTTTCTCATTCTTATTGTTCATCGTGATTTATCGAACTCGCTGAGATAAAGACATTTCCACGATAACCGGTTACTGTTTGCGACTGAACTTTTACCCATAGAGTTATAGCCGTTCACGAAGTCAACAGCGATACTGTAGGGAGGATTTTTTGAAATTATATTTTTTTATCCAGTGATACTGATTTACGTAGCTCATCTTAAAGAACCGTTCGTAGTCACGCGATCGTTGGAGCAATACTGGTCAAGTGGTTGGGACTTGGTTTACGGGTTCCTGGGTCTCGGGTCCAAGACAATGCCTCTGTCTTAAGATCGCTACGCTGGTTACGTTACGTCGGGTTACTTCGCTAACTCATTCACGGTAAATGAAGGTTCTCATCCGCGTCACGCACACTGAGCTCTCCTGATCTCTTATCTAACTAGGTGCTTCCATAGAAGCTATGTGTGTTTGTAATACGTACTATGTATATTTCAGTAGTCGCGGATTTCATGTCGATTTCAAATTTGTCCTCGATTCATTTCTCTTAAACGGGTATTACTACGCCTTTGCATCTACATCCGTTTTATACCTGCTACTCTAATAATTACGGACCAAGAACAACTGTAATTTTCTTTAAATCTTCAAGGTTACATCAATTTCAACGAGTACTTGTTCACGGGACTAGTTCCTAAAAAGGCGTGAAAGTGTTGTTTGGTAAAAAGAAAATAATCGCTATTTCGAGTGGAGTGACGTCAATTTTGATAATATTGAATTTATCGATGCGTTGCTTATTATTTATTAATATCTAGAGCGAGTGAACGTTAATTTCATTTTCAAAGCGGGTACTTGACTGAGCTATTTTAATTGGTTTTTATTAATTACAATTCTTCCTCCTTTTAAACGATTAACGGGGAATCTCTTGCTCTAATTAACCTGCGCTCGAAACTTTATATTGCACGCTGGCTTCTTAGGTTATTATTCGAAATCGATTACGCGGGAACACGCGATGAAAATGGAAAGCGACTAACTTCAAGCGATTCCGAAATCGCGTTGTATCAGTGTCGATTTCTCAACTGTGGCGTGGAAATTTCTTGTAAACGACGTGGTTTATGTGTTACTAATTTCACGACAGTTATCTATACACGATATAAGAATCTATATTTGTACTTGGGTATCATATCTTGCGTGAGTCACCGTTTTATTAAAATAGAAAGAAAAACCCAAAGAAGGAAACTTCAAACGGCGATTGCGCGATTAAAGTGCCAGAAGCGTCGAACGTTATCCGAGTGGTAACGAAGGGATCCGAAAGGACTTTCACGAGAGGAGCTGATCAAATTTTCCTAGACTGATACGACGAGTTTGAGTTAGTCTCATTTTAAACTCCTTCTCTGCCAAGAAGAAAAAGAGGAAGTTAAAATAAAGTAAGAAAAACTCAACTCCCAGTGTAATACTCTCTTCGCAAAATTGTGTTGATACAATTTTCACCGTTTTCATGCAACGAACTCTTTCCCTGAGAACGGTGCTACCTCTACTCTCACAAGCCGATACAGACCCTATTATATTCTAATGAGTCGTGTCGCGTCTCATTCTCGACGCAATGTAGAACAACTTCTGTGGAGCGTATGATCTGCCGTATTTACAACGTAACGTTTTCACCGTTTTACTGAACGCACTGACCGTCTTAATGACTATTATAGACACATCGATTTAGGTGATACAGAAAATTGCCATTTTCTATCGCTTGAAATTGTAAAATATTATCCTGTAATAATTTCGAATAAATTCCAATCAAAATCCATAATCCAAATCGAAGGTTAATGTACGACGTTAAATATCCAATCGTGGGATTATTTGTCCTGTATCAGTACCACCTTGACACAGTATCCATTATCGTGGAAAGTTCACTGAGCCGCCTTAATGTATTGGCTACGTTTCCATGAAAAAATAATCACCATAGACTGTAACGTAAGAACGAAAATATATTCTCGCTTGCCGAAGTGTATATAAATTCAAAGACTCGTAAGCATAACACGCAAGCACGTCGTTCAGATATGTTTAAAGCTCAAACAAGCACCGTTCGTAATTCGTGAGCAACGATTGGCAAGGGTTTGGTGAAACAGTTCGAGGATCGATGGAAGGCGAACTTTTATCACAGTCTCTGCGTCACGCACGATAACATTCCACCCACTTCCCTCCCAACAAGAAATTAATTTCCACCGAGTACTCGAATCTCGGCATTCTATCTTTACGCGGGTCACGCACCGATCTACAGCACACACGACACAACAATCGGCGAATTCCATTCGATACGAGATAACTTCATGATCACGTGAATAGAAATAGAGGCAAATAAAAAAAATGAATATGATAAAAACAAACGTAATTTCGTTAACGCGACAGACGCGCAAGACGCGCAAAACGCGTCTGGCCGGCTAAGCTGGCACCATTCGTGCTCACTCCACTTTTAACTTCAGCCGTAGACAATGCGAGCCACTTTATGTTCCCAAGGACGGAAGTCGCATATAACGTCTCTCTGGTATAACGAAAAAATTTCTGTCTTTTTTTTCTATCGTCCACTTCTTTCATCCAGATCATCCGCGGGACTGTCCATATGTTTTGCCGTAAGTGTAGAAACAGAGGCCCACGAATTACCGTAACGCGATTAGATAAGGTTCGTCATTGGAGTCTGCGAGTTGTTATCTGAGTAATATTAAGCCCGGTACGTTGGAATAACACTGATCCTAGTACAGTGAAAGTCTTCCACTACCAAAATACTGACCACCACCCACTAGACACGCTCCTTCTGCCATTCATTTCACGAAAGAACTAAATCACTGCTGGAATCGGTAACGTTCGACCCAGGATGCCAAGGTTGCACTCCTCACTGCTTGAATAAACGGTCTTGCTTGTAATTATGTAACGGGCAAGATAACTGTTACTTTGCTGTTGTTGCTTTATCGAGCAGCACGTTGCTCGATGCGTGTCGATAATTTGAGTGCGTTACAGGTAATAGATAAGTTCTGCAGTCATTTTCAAAGGACGCACGACGCTTGACGATCGGTGGAACGATTAATGGGAGTGAAGGTAAGATTTTTGAAAATTTTCAACAATGCTTGGAAAATTTTAATGGGATTTTTGGAAACAGTTGAAATTCGTGGGAAGCTATCAAAATTTCTAATATTTTTCATATATTATTTACTTTTATCGACTCAAGGTATATATGTATGTTAGATTTATGTAATTGTAACCATGGAATTTGATAATAAAAAAAATTCGTATTCAATTCAATTAATATATTCGTAGTGAAGATTAAAAGTATAACACTGTCCGATTCGTATATGTAGCGTGGACGCTCTCATATTTATTATAAGCGATGACGCCATTCCGTGCGATTTCAATATTTTCACGATCATCACGTGTTCCTGCGACTGTGTAACATACGGACGAGCAATACTAATAATATCCAGTAACATAATTTCCTCGGCTTTGATACATAGTTTGCAAAACAGATATGAAACTACGAATCATTATTCACGAATTATAATAAGCCAATCATTATCGTTTCATTGCCTGCCAGGGAAATTCTCGTTATGGCAAAATAGAATTTCATTTTAATTGTATTATCATATGTTTCTTCCTATATTTCACATCCGACCAAAGCATCATGATGGTTGAACGGATCAATGACCATTCTTGTTTATCACGTCCGAAACTTCATTGACACATTAAGTATGCAATGAACAGAACGAGACCACAGATCTCATCATTTAACCTCAATCAAATCTTATATTTGAAAAGTATTAATTTTTTCTTCTTGACACCTTAAATAACCAGCCTGATCGATATGATAATGTAATGGATGTGAATTTCTTTTTTCAATGTATCAATCCATGATCCAGAAACAACACTTCGACAGGCACAAGTTATGCTAGCGTGCGATATAATTTCCGGCGTTTATTCAAGTAGGTACGTGCATCATTACGTGCATCCGACGATGACCGCAACATACATATAGACATACTTAGAGAACGATGTCGTCTCTGGTTATTTTTTTCACCGTAGCGACCTTAATATGCATACAAAACATATCATACGTGGTAATAAGGTTTTTCTCTGTATAATAGAGACATGCTTACTATGACACTTAACTAGTTTTCATGCTTCGACAGTCACTTGGCATGCCTGATTTTCCTCGTAGAGGAACGGATGTAGTGTTTCTTTGGAGATACGGTTTGTTTTTTTAATCAAAAGGATATTGGTCACCTTTGACAAATTTTGGGTTGTAGTTACCGTGATTAGATAATTCGTCGAGCATTGGTTAATGCGGGCACTCGTTATCGGCAGTTGGTTAACGATCCATTATACAGGAAAGGTAAGAAAGAGGAAACACAATGGGAGATGTACATATGAATGCAAGAATGTAAAATTAGCAACGATCATTAGCATGTAGCATTACCTTGACGGTCGCCTTTGTAGTGTGGAGCTTTTGGTGGCGGCGGAGGTGCGTTCGAGTACTCTATATTTCAGCGAAACAAAATGAAAATCAAAATAATTAGCCGCACTAAAAAAAGTGTCTCGAATGAGATAGAGCTAGGGATAAACACAAAGGACAACGCACTAATCCTAAAATCGCGTACGACAATGCAGCCTTGTACTATTAAACTGCGGTATGTGCCTCTTTTTCTAATCTATCGATATTGGTGTTGGCCATTACGTGTAATCCGCATCAAGGAGGAGAGCTTGCAGGTGAGACAAGGGCCAATCGTGTCCAGACTAACTGAACTCGAAAGCACTCCTTCTTGAGAGGAACACACGTGCTACAGGAAAAAAAGAGAAAAAGATAGTGTATTAGGTATCCTAACTCATAAGGAAGCCGGACCTTCGAAGGTGACCGTAGGCCTCGCGGTGTAGGTTGGTATTGGTGGCCACCAGGGCCTGGTCTCTCGATGAACAGTCGGAGGAGGAGGTTGGTACCTATACCTCGGTCTGTGCTTGCTCGGGTCAAAAGGTTGATTCGCAAAGGCGTCCGTGGGTTGCTTCAAGATCGAAGGTGGTCTTCTAGGACGTATAGGTGACGAGGAGGTAGCACGTGGCTTTCCGACCTTCTGCCTCTTCTCCGAGGTACCGTCTCCATGACTCGATATACGACTCGAGGATCCACCCTCCGTCTCGAGCTCGGGTGAGGATAAGGACCGCGCGTTATCATGACGACTAGGATACTTGTGTGCAACCCACTGACCGGCCAAATACGGTGCTATATCACGAAGTTCGTGCACGTTCGGAGTTGACGTGAACATCTCACCTAGAATCGACACCTCCTGATCATGCTCGAATTTCTTACGAATACGACCGACCGGCTTGCTAGCTTCCAACTCCTTCGTTTCTGCTTTCTTAGAGGAGCTCGCTGTCTTTCGCAATGGTTCTTTTAGCTCGGCTAATTTACTTATCACGTTGATACGCGGCATACCCAGGTCCTCCATTCGCAAAGGGATACGTGGAATTGGTGGTGACGTACCACGTTTACGCGCCCGACCTCTCACTGGTTCATATTTCCTTCTGAGCCAGCTCACGTCTGGTACCTCCTGTGGCTTGATTATTGCCCTGTTATCGTCTGCTCCCTTGCTTAGTAAATTACGCGTCAGTTCCGGATCGCTTTGGAATCTTTTTGGGGTTGGCACCATCTTCGCACGGTTACCAGTCAGTTCCTCTAGACTTTCGAATTTGGCGCGTAGTCTCCTCACTGCTCCGCTCTTCGCCAACTTCAGGTAGGCTCGCCAGTACTTTTCTGGATCTGGAGATGCACTTCGCTGCCATAGACTCTCGAGGCTGCAGGATGACGTCGACATACCGCGACACGGACTGACACTGCGGGCCCTGTCGACAAAGTGTTCACGGTCCTGCGATCGTGAATAGAATTGTCGCGTGTTGAAAGTGTCTGGCGAAGCGGGAGGACTTCGTCTCGGTGAGGTCGAACGAGGTCGTGACCTGTGAAACGGTATCGTTGCGTATTTAGCTGATTCCGTCTCGCCAAAGAGTTCCTTCAGGTCTGCAAAACTTTGAGAAAACGACAGACTGCTCCTTGGCTGCTTCTCTGTCCGCGCATCCATTTTATCATCCTTTTTCGTCTCGTAATCCATAGTCTCAAAGAATTCGACCTTTCTCGTTACGTCTTCTGCGCTTCCCTGATGTATAACAGTTCTCACCGATGTCTCGGAACTCTCAGTATTGCTATCCAGCTCACTACCGGACGTAGCCCGTGACATTTTGACTAAACTTTCTTCGGAAACGGCCATTGTCATTAATGGTGGCTTCTTCGACCATTGTTCCAGGACATTTTCAACCCTTCGCTTGCTCGTCGGCGTTTCGTCGTTTGGCGTTAAAACTAGTAAGAAGTCACTTTTATCTTTGGACTTTGGTGTACCTTCTTCTGACATTTCCAGGGAGTAACAGGTGCGCGGTGAAGTGTCAGTTCCACTTGAGGTCGAACCCTTTGGTTTCGCTGCAGCTGCAGCTATCGCACCGCGGGTCTCTCGTGGCGTTATCGACGCAGAAGCTCGTCTTCGCGTTACCTTATCTAAGATCTCTTGACTCAAGGTCAACGATAATCTCTTCTTTTCCAATTCAGACATAGCCGGCGCCACCACTTCTCTGTCCGATTGTGATCTCTCAATGCTTCTTCCGCGATTTATCGAATTGCTTCTCTTCAACGGGGAATCCAAGTGGCTGTAAGGAGACTTCTTATCGACGACTTCGGCCATTTTGCATATATCCGGCGTCACCATGGAATGACATCGTACATGAAGACCTTTCTTATCTTCCTGGATGCCATCGCCAAACTGGTCCTGAGATGGAACTACTATTTCGTAATCAGATTTTGACATGGCCTTCAATTTTCCACTGTCGTTGCTATAAATTTCATTAAGCTGATTCTTCAAAGCATTTACTTGCTCGACTGACAGGCTGCTCCAAAATTTTCTACTTCCACCGAGATTCTTTTGCAGAAGCGGCTGTACGGTTTTTTCCATTTCGGATGACGTTGCTCTTCTCGATATTGTATTCGCTACACTCACCACCGAGTTTCCTCGCCATAGTGGCTTATAGACGTCTTTCTTCGACGAGATTTCACGACGTCGCAAAGATTCCAATTCGCTCTCTTCGTTTTCTAATTTACGAAAATGATCGCGTATATTTTCCACGGACTTTTCCTTACACCTCAATCCGGAATCACCTCGCCATCTGAACTGATCGACGTCCTTAGGTCTGAAGAGGAAGTCCTTTTCCTTTTGGGCTGCTTTCAATTTACCATACAATAGCTTCAATTCTTGTTCCGCACGTTCCTTAGATCTGACTTCCTTCCAACGATCGTAGTCAATGATCTCTTCGTTCTTTAATCTGGGCTTCAAGTCACCACTGGATGCTGTACGCTCTAGCTCACCCATTCTTTCCAAGCTTGCATAGAAATCATGAAGATCCTTATATCGTTTAGATTTTCTTTTACAGTGCAGCATCTCTAGTACGTATTGCTGATACTCTTCTCTATCGATTTGCGAGGAATTCAGTGAACTTGTACTTTTTGCCAGTGACAAGTTTGACCCGAAAATTGCTTTCTTACGTTGCTCAATTTCACCAGCACTTCTGGCTCTTGCTTTTCTCACGACGATTGTGGTACCCGGAACGTCCTGTTGTCTTAGGCTTTGGATCCTGCGGCAGGCTGGTGATCTAATTGGAGATGGCGATGCTGGTCGTGGCGAATGACGCTCAGGATTTTGTTGCTCGGAAGTTACCGGTAGCACTTTTAATGGTGGTTCGCTCAAACTTCTTTCCTTGTAGCAATGCTGAGTTATGTCCGGACTTCGTCCACGCAGTGAAGTGGCCGAACCGAATTCCGTCGCGTAATCATCAACGCTCAGGAGACTATCAAATTTGCTAATTTTTTGAAATACGGACCGCCCAGGCCAGCTGACACCATAAGGACTGGAACACCTCGAAGAGACACTGTCGCGATCCCAATTTTTGAATTTTGAATTAGAAACTGGTCGCTTACTGGTCAGGTAAATATTAAGGGATCTGAGCGACGGTTCCGATTTGAAATTCTCATTATTTAAATCCTGAAACATTTTGGCGCGCTCTAGGACCGATGATTTTCTCAGTGTACTGGCTTGCGAGGGGGTGGGTGAGATATTTCTCAAAAATAAATTTTGAAAAAATGCATCCGACTTCATGGCTTCCTGATGGCGTTTTATCTGCTCCACAGTCAATGCAGGTGTGGGATTTTCTTGATCGAGTTTACGCAATTCCTTAGCCATCTCCGACCCAGCTGCCTTTCCTAAAGCTTTCCTAGACTTTTTCTTTTCAGAATCACTTTTCTTACCGTTTGACGATTTTTTATTTTTAACGATCTCGTTATTTTTATCCTTTCGCAGTTTTTTCTTCTCAATCTTCCTGTCCTTGTCCTCTGGTATCAGACTGATAGTTTCTGGTTTCCTCACGGGCGATTTCACAATTGTCTGCGGTTTCTCACGCGGTCGTTTCCTCTTACCGATATCATTCAGAACATCCGTACAGTAGGATGAAGTCGAACGCAAGGATTCTCGGCTACTTCGCAATTTATCCTGCTGCTTCGTTACTGGCTTCAGCTTGGAATTTTCGACAGGTTCTACAAAAGTCGTTTTCCGACTTATCAACGGCGATGAACTCGTGGTCGACGTTTTCGTCAGACTTCTGGTAGTGGTTGAAGTTTCCGTGGTTCTTCGTAGAAGCTCCCGTCCTTTGGATGATATCGCCACGGTTACTCTCAATGATTTATCTTCGGTATTCTTTTGCTTGCTATTGGCAGCCGAAGAATACAGAGTCGTAGAACTTTTCACAACGGTTCCCGAAGGCAAGAGTTTCGTCTGTCCTACCTTGGACTCCTTGTCCTTCTGCTTCTGGATAACCTTACGAACTTCCATGGGTGAAGATAAATCAGGTGATCTACTCAATCTCTTGCAAACCTCATCCTGCTCCTTTTTCGTACGACGAACTTTAATAGGCTCCTTTTGCACTGGGACAACCGAAGTCCTTGACCGACTGCCATGATGGCACGTCCTTTCCGATGAGCATAGCCGATCTACAGTCGATTCCCTAGAGCTCATGGAAATAGGACTCTTGGACGGTACTCTCTTGATAGGTGGTTTATCTTCCAAGGTTCGTTTGCTATCGACCGTTTTCTGTACTGTAGTCCTAGAAGTCCTGGATACAGGACTAGCCGATGTAGAGATCCTGGATCTCAATCGTTCAGGACTCCGAGTAGAATGCTTGGAGCTGGTACCCTCTGTGAAACTTCTAGATAAACAAGGTTCTGATTTCCCACTAGGAAAATCAGTAATGACCGTAGAGGACACCCTGGTCCGCGACGATACTGGACTGGTCGACAAGGTTCTTGTTATCCTGATCCTCTGTGCCTCTTCTCTGTCCTTCCTGTGTTTTTCGAGCTTGCAAGAAAGCCGGTCCCTCAGGAATCTGATGTTTGACACGCTATCAGCCGCAAAGCACTGCTCGTGTCTTGAACTCGGTGGATGTGGATTATCAGTAATGTGCATCTTCGAGTAGAGTCTGAGAGTTGAGTTATTTCGGGAGGACATTCTCCTTGGAGGAGAGGGTGGTCCGCTAGCAGGAGACGATACCCTCGATGGCGGTCGTCCAGGTGGTGGGGAGGATATTCTGGAAGGTGTCGAGTGCGACCTTGCCGGAATGATGTCCGACTTGAAGGACTGTCTCAGGGCTGAGTTGACCAGAGAGGGTGCGGATCTTTTGTAGCGCGCGAAAACCATCTCCGTGGATGAGGAACTGGCACCGCCCGGGCAGATCGGAGTTCGCGCGTTCGTTTCTGTTGACGTGGGATTCGTTTTCTTGTGTACGCGAATCCGCGTCAAAGTCGGCGAGATCGGGAAGTATTCGATCTCGGAGTCGTCTGTGGACAGAGTTTCGTTTTGGGCCCGTTAGCAGTGCGAGTTCGGTGATTCGCGAGATGAACCCCTTTCACCAAGGCAAGGCAGTGAGTTTTGCTTGCGCGTGTGGTATCGCAGGAGATCGTTCCTCTTCGTGGTGTGCAGGGGAGCAATAATGTGAGAAAAATCGAAAACTCATAGCTGCATACCGATATCGATAGATCGAAAAGATAGATAAGAAGACAGAGAATAAAAAGATATGTGCCATGTTACGGTATAATATAAAAGTAACCTGTAAGAGGATAGAGATGAAAAAACTGGCATAGTAAAGACTTACTGGAAGCATTAAAATATAATAAATTCAAAACATTCGAGGTAGAGTGCCATATACTTAAAAACGCATAAAAGACGTTCATGCATAATAATGTGAGTACGTCACTTGGATGATGCACTAAGGTACTAATATATCTACAAGATGAGATCAGGCTCTTGTAGTTTCGTCATCGACCAAAACAGCACGTACTTTCGTGCCGTGGTACTAAGAGCGCTTAATTGCAATTAGACAGCATCGCAATCAAAGTTCAGAAGATACTTTGGATTTTAGAGTTAGTCAAGATGCACGTCGCATATATTTGCCGTTAGAAAATAATGGTTAATCGCTGCAAAAACACGACCACATGCACCACGCGTATTACTTGGGGTTAATTGTGAGACATTCCGTGTTACGTGGCGATGAATGAGTCGTGATATGTTATCGGGTACTTTGAAATTACGTAAAATCCATTGAAAGATATAAAGGGATATTGATTTTTAAATGAAGCATAGATTTAACCCCCCATATCCCAGAACAAAATCCAAAAAATTAAACATACTTCGTAATTGAATTTTTCTTACTTACCCTTTGGTCGTTCAGGGGCTGGTTTACGAAGACCATGCAGGGGTACGTCGCCACCCTTTTGTACAGTCTTGTAAGCCAATCTTTGTTCAAGAGGACTCAGAGGATTGACGTCGTCGCGTCGACGAAATACCAGGGTCGAATCGCTTTCGTAGCCGGATTCTTTTAAGGCACTGTAATGAAGTAAGAAGATAAGATTGTTTTTTTTTTTTAATTAGTAGCCTTAATCGAATGACATTTTGTTGGTGTACTTACTGGGACATATAGGGCTTGGCGATATGTGTACTGCGCTGATCGAAAGGCTGTAAAATCGAAGAAAATCGTTTGACACTTATTCATCTGTATTGTTTGGTCTTTCGCGTAACATATATATTACGACACGTAGACATGCCTTTTATTGCGTGCTTCATTACTTTACGAGTATACACTGACATCACCATGAATTTTCGGCAAAGCAGTTTAATCGCAAGCATACATTTAAGAGCTTTCACGCCAATGCACATATGGATATTATTTGTATCATATCAGAATAGCCAACAAATATACTTATGGTTCACACGTTGATTAAAAAGCATGCTGCTCATTCGGCTAACTTTTGAGTAGAGTGATAAAATTATTCAACAGAGTAACACGGTATGCACGAAGCTTAAGAACAAGTAGATAAGTACAGGAGGATGGATAATGGGAACAAGATCGAAGACAGCAACAGCAAATATAGCAACAACGACATCGACAATGACAAGAATAAGTAGAGACAGAGCAATAGAACAACTGGAACAAGTGTCCGGATTATGGCAGAGCCAACATACAGAGACTGGACATTAATCTTTATTGTTTTAAGGCAAGCGCACCGGTACCATGGAGCCATTAGCGTTCTCCAAATTTTGGCAAGCTGCCTGTTGGTTTCGTCAAGGTCGCGAGATAACCGTACGCAGAGATAAGACATTCAAAGAGAACCCTTGTACAAAAATTCAACATGTAACTCTTTGAATTTGGAGAATTTCGTGAAATCCTTCTACAAAAGATTCCTTCTCAATCAACACTACATATACTCAAAATTCATAAGAACCCGCGACCATGCTGTCAACACAGACCGAACCGGCATTGAATCGCCCATATAGTAATATAACTATGATTTTAAGAGCGTTATATATATCATATAGCTGTAGCCGTAAAAAATACGAGAGCTGATGAGAAATAAAATCGCGCGAGCATTGAACTTGACTATATTAATAAGGATAATAATGGCAATAATAATGAACGTCGCATTTAATAAGAATGCATCGTGCACTCGAAATCACGGATGGCAATCTAACCCGTGGCGATGTCGCAGTCAGAGCAGAAGGTTGTGGTATGATATGATTGGTGCTGGAAGAAGAAGAAGGTGGAATGCGGTGGTGGTGGTGATGATGGTGGTTGTGGTGGTTGTGATGATGGTGATGGTGGTGGTGGTAGTCATTGCGAGTGCTTGGCAGTGGCAGGAGCAACCGATCATCGATTTTAGCCAATCGAGCAGATTGACATCCGGTCTTAGTTAACGATCGATGATTATAACGATCTGGCAGTACGAAGCTCTTCGACTTTCCTTCCAGCATGCTGTAGCAGTCGCGTAAGGGTCGTATTATGCGCTCGGGCGACGCACTGTTATCGTTCGTTTCGTCTTTAACACCTTTCACGTCATCGATCTCTTGTCGTTGATGAGATTTTATAGATCCCTTCCCGCGCGTCATCCTGGATGACGTGGTGCGTTCGCTCTTCATGGTGCAGGATCTACCCTGCACCTGTATCCCCGTGCTTGGTCTGGTCTTGCAGCGCGACGTGGCGGAACTGTCTTTACCGATTTCTCGTGGAGGTCTCGAATGCGCGAAAACGCTGTGGGTATTATCGACTCGGTCGGTAAGGAAGCGACCTTCCTCGAGTTGCCCTAATTCGTAGGTATTTTCGGGAGTATTCGAACTCGTGAGTGGTGCTCTTACACTGTGACGGCCGTCCGGTCTGTAGGAGAGACTGAAAGCTCGTGCCGATTGCGAGAGTCGACGCTCTCCGATCGGTTCCTCGGGATTGTGATCTTGAGGATGTCCGTTCTCATCCAGCCACTGCGCTCGCCAACCAGAACCGGAACCGGAAGTAGCGCACAAGTAGAGACGACGACACAAACAACCAACACATCGAGATCAACAATGTTAACGAGTACTACACGCAACAGTTGAAGAATAATGGTACAGGACAGCATTTATTGGGATATAGAATCATTGAATTTTGAAAAGTGGTTCACGGTTAGGATCTACGGATTAGTTATCCGGGGATCTTGGTATCGGTATGGATGGGAAATGTCAGCCTGGATTATTTGCCGCAAATTGGATAGTGCTGATACGGGCGAAGAGGGGCTGTATGTGAAAGATTGTTTATCGTGAAGCTAACAACACGTCATTACCAGAGGTAAGATAATACAGTGAGTGACAGTGATACGGTGCTTTTAAAGTGTAAGTTTAAAGCCAATTGACATTGGGAGTACGATACGTTAGAGCGATAGGTGATGTCTCCTTCGAAAATTAACGTGCCAATCAGCTGTCGGACGCTGAATGCAATGGGACTTTATAGCGATGTTGAATTATCGCGTGCTCGTAATTTCTCCCAGTTTCATTGTTAATGTCAGCTGATTGACTCGTTCTATTTTTAGGGAGAATAATAATCGTAATAATAATCGACCATTTTGGATCATCTGCAAGGCCCAAATGATAATTCTTTTACGAGCAAAATATGTCAGATTTACTTTGACGTAAGAATTTTTGACCGTACCCTTTTCCCATCACCATTAGAAAAGAACACGCATCGAGTTTTATTTTCATAGTAAATATCGCGTTGAATTAAACAAAGTTTTAGAAAGAGAAATAAATAGGTTCCTTCTTAAAGGATTCCTCGGATTTTGATGCAAGTTCTTTTCGATATCTTTGACGTGGACTGAACATTTTATAGAGAATCTGAGAAACTTAAGCTGATAACAAATTCTTAAGTAGTTACATTAAATATAAAAATGGCGTACCCCGTCAAATATGTCCATGACCTCGTCCCACCACTAGAAAAATATAATTAAACACGGCGTTATACTAGGCGTGAAGTCTATTTGGGTTACTTTGTATAAAATAGGGTCAAAAATAAAGAGAAAATTTTATAGGATTACTTAAGACACGTTACTTCCCATTCAAAATTCTTTTTGATACCACGTATGATAGTCTCTTTACCGCAATAGCAAAATTTTGAATGGACAGTAATCAATGTAATAAAAAAAATATATATAATTGTCTACAAGCAGCACTACTGAAGCTTCATAAAATATAACTAATATACTCTCGGACAATTGCTTTGATCCATTGAGTCGACATCATTATATAAAAGATGAATCGCATCTTATAAGAAGCAAACAATTCGCACTTAGTATCGTGGCGTTAAATAACAAAGGAAGAAATATAGAATTTCTCTTAGTTTTTCGTATCGTCGTTACCTTTCTTCTTGTCCACGTGATAGACGTTGGCTAAAAGCAAAGCCATTTCAAACTATCATCATGTTCAAGTAGCACTTAAAGCCAGCATTAAGTATCTACCATTAGTATTTGCCGTTCAATATATTCTTTGTTAATACTCATTACTGCACGTTAATTATCACGTTTCACGGAACAACGATAATGCAAATGCGAAGGGATTCGATAGTGTTAGTTCCTGTACAATTTACAACGTGACGTGCTTTACTGATCCTCTTTCTCAATTTCATATTTCAGATCATCGTTCGTTCTAATAGTTTGTAATCTATGAACCAAGAGTCAGCTCTCTTACGAAATCAAGTAGCAAAGCTGTTTGATCCTTTTCAATATACTACACTAGAGACGATTTATTTTTCCATTTAATTCGCTATGTCACTTTTTCGTTAAACTTTGAAAAATACTAAAGTATCGAATGAACTCACTGGCTATTTCAAAAATGAATTTTTTTTTTCACTCTAAGACATACCTCTTTGGTTTCCTTGTCGGCAATGGATGATCGACCTGGTTCGTAATCCTCGATACGGCCTGGTTGATTTTTGTAAACCTCGCTGGCGTATTTCAGTGGGCCGTTTCTGATTTTAAAATGTTTTTTTTTATGTAATTTTTGATATCCAATTGGATTATAAAAAGTACAAGTACCTGTAGATACTTACTTTCTCGGCATAGTCGAAGTGGAGAAGTCATTTTCTTTATTTCGCAGACGTCGTCGATTGTCAAGAGTCGCTGATCTGTCGGAAGAACCACGTGGTTCGGGTTCACTCAAGTAACCACTACTGGTGCCGTAACCGTACCTTCCTCCTGGAAAAAAAATAATTTTATTTTGAGAACTTTTATATAAAATCGTAAATACGACTAGTTTATAGATCTTTATTTTTAGATACAGGATGTTACGTGTACTTTTGTAAATCTATACACTTTACAACCTCCAGAATGTAGTATGGTTCCTACTTCAAAATAAACCACTGAAGTGAAATAATTCTTGGACTCGAAGCTCTTTACAAATATTCATACATTTTTACTAAAACAGTTCGTTTCCTATTTAAAAAAAAAAATTATACGAAAACTATGCTTGTGACCAAAGAAATTTTAATTAATTACCTTCTAGTATCACTTTAATATAGCAAAGATCAATAAACATTCTCGAATATAAACATCCTGTGTACATTCGACATAATGAAATCTGCGATATTCTGCGAATACTTTAAATATAATAAAGCAAATTGAAATCCTAGCATAAAAGCATATGAAAGCATTGCACCCGCCTTATTATATATGTTACATCAATAAAAGCTGACAAAATCGCAATTACGAAAAAGAAATAGCTGACAGAGCCAGCGAACCGTACCTGAAAAAAAGATTAATTATTTAGTAGGATATTAGGTAACAAAGGCGTAGGAGATCAGCAACGATAGTTAATCGGTTTATTGTTATTTCCACGCATGAACAAGCAACTGGTTAAATTAAACGGCTGAACTCAGCGTCGAGCTACGTAACACGCCCGATATGTACTTAAAGGTTCCATAGGATCACACAGTATCTGTAAGAAACTGAATATAGTGCGAGTTAATGAAATAAACCATAAAGAAATATTAGTCTTCACTTAAAAAAAAACATTTGTTAAAAATTTTAAGCTCTTCTTGGGATTGGAACAGTTTTAATTGTTGTATTAACAACTATAGTCACCTCTACGTGGCTTGTACCGGATGGTTACGTAGTCTTCTGAAATTGAAAAATGCGTCTGCATTACGTGGGAACTGCGCTTGGCCGGTAGCTTTAAATATGAAGATAAATTATGCATCCAAGGATGACAAATGAATCTTAATAATATTTAGGCTGCTGCAATTTTATGCCTTGAAAATATTATAACCTATTTATATGTATAGTCGTTCAGAGTAAGCTCGGACATTTTTATGATATTTAAAGTAATGACTGCGTTTAAGGACTAAATTAATAAGGAAGCAATACGAATTTATAAGGGTCGTCACTACGTATAGTAACTTTTTTTTTTCAAAAGTCATTTAATGATTATCTGGAACACTGACCATCCTTATCAGCGCGATGCAAAGAGTCATACATTTTCTTGTACCATCTTGCTTGGTTGTTCTCTTTGACTTCCTGAAATAAAATTCAGTAGTTATAATTATTTTAGTAAAACTTCTTATTAAGAAAATATATTATATTTTTTTATCTACTACCTTACGTGGGACCTTAATATTTGGTCATATGAAACATCCGGTTAGAAGTGTTAGTTGGATATCGATAGAAGATTAATAAAAAATATTGCTGATAGCATCTAGAGATTTAGGGTTAACAAAAATTTTATTTTTATAACAACTTACCGATCTCAGTACAAGAGGAATACCCTCCTTGGTTATTGGACCGATACCTTCGAATTTCCTAGGTCCTAAATCAGCCATCTTCTTGGGCGGCTCGTTTTCTGTTTCTGGCTCGCTTTCGTACTCCTTCTTCACGGTGTAGACTGATCATCGAGTTCAAACGAATTCATCATAATTTCGTGATACAATATTTAACACTCGCACTCGCGCAATGCGAACGGACTTCCGGAAATCCGTTCAAATTTTTCCACACAAGTATAATCAATATACCGTACGGCGGTTATATCACAATGTAATCGTAAATTTTTGCGAATCGTAAATAGGCAAAAAAAAATAATATTAAGCAACGCTTTTATACGAATAAAAATATACATACTTATCTCGCCAGGACTGATCAAAGGTCTTTCGTCATTCTTCCGATAAGCAACTTTATCACTTTCCTCTAAGTACGCAGCTCCTTTCGGTAACTGACCCTCTGCAATGTACAAGGTTTTTCCGATTTAATGAGATTTGTTTATGACGTAATAAGATAACGATAACTCATGTAAATAAGTCAAAAGATACTTATAAAATGTAAAACTAACCCCTGGCCTTTTGCAGTAAGGTAATCGTAGGATTTTGTGCTCGAGGCAATCGGGGTGTACCCGCAAGGGTGTTCAACCCCTGAGAGGGTGCCGAGTGCGAATTGACGATACGGGATGTGATACTCTGCGAAAGGATATCTGATGCTTCCTTCTTTTCCTCCTCGCCTTCCCAGGGTGGAGGTGCCTCCTCCGTGGAAGACTAAAGATGGGATCATCACGTTAAGATATTTGAATTAATGACAATATTGTATAATAAGGATATATGAATTATATATTTACCTGCGACTGAGGTTTATTCTTTCGACTTAATACAGGACTTTCGAATTGAACGGGACGAAATTCCTTCCTCTCAGGAACCGGACTTGCACCTGCGCTGGACGGAGTCCATACTGGTGGAATCCCAGCATCCTTGTCCGATTCCTTGCCACGCTCAGGACTTGGCTGTTTTGGCGGTGGACGGGGTTCGCTTCCCGGTGACCACACTCCTATCGACAGGATCAATTATACATTAATCCTGGACATCAAATATCCTAGATTCTCATATTTCACTCGTCAAACAGTCCTCCATGATTATAGAGTTCACAGTACAAGTTATGGTAATATCTTATGAGATCATTCTCACACGACAAAAAATTCAAGCAAAATCCTCTTTTATTGTATATTGTGTAAAGTAAATCAGTAAAAGGAGTCCTGTTTTATTATACGTTAAGGGAAAGATCTTTTTGCAAGTTTTCAACGTAACACGCATGGCGACAGTGTTAATTTAGTACAAGGCAAAACTGACCAAGTTACAAAAGCGGAGGAGTAATTCTTGGCTCGCGAATGTTCATTACGTGAAAAAAAAAAGAAACAGAGGTTTCCTGGCAAGGGTTTCCTCTGGATGAGTCATGCTTTACACATCGTAAACCGTTTGCTAAGATGTATGTAGACTGGAGAATACAAAATTCTGCATCGCGTCGATTCGACAATATTAAAATCACGTAAACTCGATCCTAAATGTGATTCAGGAAGAAAAAGGGATTTCTTCACGCTATTGAATCAAGAAATAGATATGCTGCTCGATTTTTAATTATCCTAAGTAAAACTTGGATACGAGCCACTTTGGCAGCCGCCGATCAGTTCATAAAACCAGAGAAAGAATACTGCCCAGATTACAATTGCATTTCTATTTTTAGTTAAATTACTACGCCGTATCCATTGTGCTTTTTTTTGCATTGACCGTTAGGGTAGGCATATATGTATAAGTCGAGTATTTTGGCCTTTGCGGATTACTAGACTTTTCAGTACTGAATATTTTCTCCCATATCCACTTGCCGAGTAGTCAGTGCAGAAGCCGATGCACTCGACTGTTTATACACGTGGTTGCGTCGCGACGCTTGATGACGGATACAAAGAAGAGACGGCGCTTTGATGAAACAAACATTCGCGCATTTTTCACGGTTGATCCTCAAGAATTAAATTACAGAGAAAATACGTTACCGATGGTCGATCTTTTTGGAGTGCCAAAAAAAGATTTTCTAATTCATTTTTTCGGAGGCGTGTTTACTATACAGACATGGTGTCCCATGACGTAAGGTCTAAGTTGGATTTTATCGAGGTCTCGTGATAAACTCAAACAGACAGCGAACGTGACTAAGTAAATTCGTGACTGAATCCAAGACTCTGGTAAATTTAGAATTTCCATGGGTGGATTATTATTACTGCCGTTAGTTTTTAGAGCGAAACATATATATACATATATAATATATATGTATATTGCACACGACACCTCATTTATTTTTGGCGACGCGAATAATGCGTTTGAGGATTGATATCTCGTATATTATAATAATTAAGAACCTGATTAAAATCGGTAGTGTCTTCATGCTATTTGCTGTATGTACATTTTTTACTATGATTAGTAGGAATTTACTGTAGTCTACGTATACACAGTTTGATTTAATTATGGTTAATCAATATGTCCGTTACAATGGACTTTCATTGTTTTATCTGAAGGATAACATCAAGGCACACATTATCACGTGTTCATATTGGGACGTATATGATTTACCTGGTTTAGCCGACGATGCTTTAAACGTAGGAGCAAACATGTTGTTCTCTGCAAGTATCAATTGACGAATTTAATACTCGTCTGGTAATTTGCTACAACTTTAGCAAATTAATGGAAATAAAAATCAGAAATCTAATGCAAGAAAATTGCATTTCCTTCTTGCACGAAATTAAATATGGCTTCCAATTTGTATGAACAGTCATTGAGTCGTTAATATATTCATGATTAATTGTTTTAGGCAATGGATCTTCGGTAGGTGGTACTTGGGTAGTCTACTGGGATCACGTTCTTTAGTTAGTCACTGAAGAACTTTGAAAATCACTCGAGGGAAGACGTTGGTCAACTTTCTGGTAGTTTACGAAACTACCGGACTGACTTAAGAGGCATTCAAAGACTCGTTAGCGGCCGACAGAAAAAGATTGGCGAACTTAACGGAAAGTTGGACGTCGACGTGGATGAGTAACGTAGAAAAAATTTCAAAGAACTTTTCGAGTAGGTATACAAATGTGGATTTCGAGCGGTCATAGAAATAACGATTATCTATAGAACGTTCCTATCGTTCTATCCTTATCTGTACTTTGAAAAATATTTATCTTTGAATGACTAAATGCATTATTATAAGATGCAAGGAAAGTTTTCTATACGGTTCCTATTGGAGCTGTGTGAAGTTTTTTTGTTCCTTCTTAATTAACTCCGTGAGGTTTAGTAGGTCAAGCTGACCAAGATTGCACTAGAGATATTGACAATGCAGTTCATACGTACTTAGTGAATACTTTGGAAACGTTGAATAGGCAAGACGAGCTTATGTAATATGCAAATATTTTTTTTTACTTTGGTACTACTGGAAGGACAGTAATTCCGGCGACTGAGAAGCTCTTGGCGTTTCACGGCATGCGAGTAGCAAAGAGCTTCTGTAATGGAGTCCTTGCAGCTCATTAATAGAGAACTGCACTTGATGAGGTCGTCAGGAGAAGTAACGAAGAAGAGCGAAAGAAAGAGAGAGACCAAAAAGAAAAATGCATAAGAGAGACGATAGTGGCTGCTTGTTTTTTATTCGCAAGCGACTATCTTCGGTATACATATTGCAAACAGGTGAACTTGTCTCGCAATTTAAAAACATTTTCCATGACAGTTTGCATATTTATGAAATTTACTTTTCTTGAAGCTTCGAGAATAGACAGTTCTACAGAGATGGGGTTTCACGGTTATTTTCGAAAAGATTAAAAATCTGGCTAAATCCTATATATCATAATGTGGATTTTGCGAATCACCCGAAATGATTTAATTGAACGAGTGTCAAAACACTTGAAATTAATGTGTCCAAGGCGATACGGAAATAGCAAACTTAATATTTCCCGTTTCAAATTCGTCTGAGTCCATATTCCTCGTGGCGAGACGTCGCTGAAACGTAACGCGATCCTCTTACGTAACTGAGAACCAAGCGGATGTAGGATGTTGGTTTTCGTAATGGACTTAATATCCTACTAAGATTCGTTATTTGGCTACCGTCATTTTCCCGTAGGTCTTGTTCGTGCTTTTTCGAAAAATACGACACGGTTCGTCGCACTGCCTAAGCAGGCGTAAAAAAGTCGTCGACGAGTATATTATCGCGCTATTGGTCCATATTCATGAATAATCCACAAAAGTGGTCAAATTACGGAGGTCAATGAGAACGTATTAAAAGTGAAGGTAGTTGAAGAAACTCATGATAACGAGAACAATTTTTCGTCGAATGTAAATTAACGAAAGTCAAAATAAAAGAAAAGTTTAGTCAAAAAAAGTTTTGAGAAAGATAACATTGATAAGTTATCATTGGTAATAACGACGTGAGTGTCCTAAAAATTTATTGTTATTGAAGATTGAATAGTCATTTTGTAAAACTCAAGGAATTTCTGCTAATCAATTTTTCCACGTGAGCTTGAAATTAATTTATTGATTATTGATAAACATCTTTGAGCCATTGATACAACCTGTTGAACGACCACATGGACTCAGTCCGTCTCGAATACGTTTTAACTCGATAATACCGAGTCCCGTGAAACCTATATGATTGAACGGCACTCACTTTTCTCCAACATGACGTCACTGTTCCACTTGAAATTTAAATCAGTATATTGCACAATGCCCTCTGTTTTCAAATTCTCCTCTTGCGTCTCGCTCGAACTTCAGAGCATAGCGCGATCAGCTTTCTAAGGAGGAAGTACGCGCGGACGATGAAACGGGACTGGGGCGTCGCGACGTCGAAAGCTCGTAGTCGCTGTCGGCGTCACCGACTTCCACTGCGTCCGTGTCGACGTAAACGGACAGCGCGAAAACGCTGTGCTGAAGTCGCGTAATGAGACAATAATAATTACTACAGTGGCCCTGTCAATTATCAAAATTTTAACTTGCGAGAAAATTTCCAAAAAATGAAAAAAAAACATTTTTTTCCCATAAACGTATAAAATTTCCAAAGGCAGGTACACATATCTGCAAAATATTAACACGCGTCTGAGATGCACTGAAATTTCATGAATTTCCGCAAAGGGCAGGAAAATTGAAATTACATTTCGTTACCATGGAGACCTGCTCCTATATTGCATCTAAGCGGAGCGCAGTAACATTCGCGGGGTTGATCGTGAGTTGATTTTCCAGTAAGTTACTTCCTGTGGAGATTGAATCGACTGGAAACATCGGGAGTGAGAGGAAATCGAATTGGCGACATGATTCATGGGCTTTTGTGATAATATAATATAATATTCGTCTAGTATCGCAATATATCATATAGCTAATAATCAGAAATTGTAACTGCAGGTAGGAGTATAGCCACTTGCATAGTTATTCGAGTCTGAAAGGTATGCCTTATCAGTTTCTAGTAACTGTGCAAGAGTTTACTCCCACCTACAGTTTGTAGTAGACTATCTGATAAGCCTACGTGATGGTATCGTAAACAGTAATCCGACACTTCAAAGACGTCTGCATCAGTAAGAGCAAATCGAAGGACATTTAATTAGAGTAACGTAATTTGGCACAGCCGGTGTTGCATAGTCGAATTAAAAAAAAAACAATGACATTGAACGTAAACAAGAAAATACTCAAACCGAGTAATTAAAATTTGAGCACGGTGACCATGCTGAATAATAATTACCAATAATATAAACAATCACGATAAAACAAAGCCAATGCAACAGATGCACTTTCATAATAGAAGCATGCATAAGTAAATGCATCTGTCACTGTCATACTATGATTTATTACAAAGACCACAGATACACTCCCCGTCTCCGCACGAAAGCTAATAGCACGCACAGTGTCTCGAGAACAATACATTGTTCGGTTGCATAACATTATCGTTATCGCACTGAGAGATTACCCATCATAACATTAAGGTTGTTTATGGCTGAGCACGTTGCTTTCCTCGTAGATAATCCAAAATCTGTTATTAATTATATCCGCTTGATACCAACCAACGCCATGCTCAGCGTGTAAACTTGGACGGCACGTACCTGAGGGTGGTCAGGAGGAAAAAAGGCGGGCTTTTCAAATCCGATTTAATAAGGCAGCCTTTGATCGTGCGTACGCAATCTAAAAGCACAGCGATACGTGCCACTAGAACACGATTGCCGGCATAATACAGATCGACTGCTCAGCCATGTACGAAATTCCATAGAGAAGATCTCGTTGGCATTTCAGTGAAATTCCCTTGGCGCACGTACCGGTACCGAATATTAGATAGAATACGTGAATAATTGTGTGTAAAAAACATTTCACTACTTCTCGCTGCAACTGCCCACCTTCCAAGGGCAGGGTGTAACGGAGACGTTATTAAAATGCAAAATACCAACCTTCAAGTGCAATGCTGGATTCACTAGCATTCCCTTTTCGCAATGCTAACGACCGTACCGTTTAGCGAGACGCTAGGCTTTATCGTTCGTCGAGTAATGGAATGAATGGAGACGGCGCGCATTGAAAGGCGTCCCGCTATCGTTACTTCCGATTACAATGCAAAATGGCTCAAGGCGTATCTACGTTACGTTAGGTAATATCGCTTTAGAAGCAGACTCATATGGCAACGCACCTTCACCAAGCAGAAATCCCTTGCCGATTTTCAAAGCCGTGTCAATCTCGTGCAGTAGATCTGTTGATATGCCTTTTTCTCCAGCTGCAATTTCATTAGCCATTTCCGTTAACGAAAGAAAGCATGCATTGGGTGCTCGCTAAAAAAGCATCTATCAAGCATCACTATGTTCTACAGTCATCAGTCATATACTCGTTAATTTTGCGTATTGTGTATAGTCGATAAATACAACCAATCAAGTGTGTGCGATTGCATAAACAAATTTGTTCGGTTAATAACGATTATTCAAATGCGCATCGGCAAATATGTGATAATTATTCAAATTGAGGTTCTATACGATCTATAGATATACATGAGTGATCGAATCGAATGGTAATTAGAAGAAGCAAAAAAATAAAAAATAATTTTAATAGCATTATGCAATTTTAGTGTCAGGTGCATGCACTTTTTTTTTAATAGCACGATTCAAAGTTTTGTTTTTTAATCTCTGATAGCGTCACGCGCGGTAACGCGTAACGAGAAGAAAAGTGCCCATTCGGCAAGATCTCATAGATCCTCTTACGATCGATCAAAATTCGATCATCACAGCGTCGCGTAACGGTTCGGACGCGAGCGTGGATGTTGCAACGGTTCGAAATAGCTGAAAACAAGACGGCGATCCCGTTGGGCACTGGGATGCGGTGACGTCCAACTACTGGCCTATTTTTCGACGCCCTCTAAATATAGTTTACCTCTTATGAATCAGCGGCGAGCCGCTAGCGTGGCTACGTAGCGATTGCCGCGATTTCAATTCGAAGGAAAATAAACTTAGACCAGTCAGAAACACTGACTTAAGTAAATCGCGTCTCACCATTGGACGACTGAAATTCATCTATGCGGAAAACTACAAAGACCCGCGTACAGTATACGAGAAAGGGATGTTAATTTTTGTTTATTTATTTTAATATTTATATTCAGATAAAAAAAAAGTAACTGATTTTCTTTCAATTTTTTTTATCGTCGAACGAATTTTTTATCGAACGAATTAATAAGATAACGCTTTACCACGACTTGTCTTCAACGTGCCATCGTGTTAATGACGCTAATTAATAATAATGATGTATTTGTGGCACTTCCGGTTTGTGGCCTTTATAAAATGTGTGGAAAGACAAACGAGCTGCGAATGACTTATGGAAGGAAATATCGTATTAAATGAGGGTATCTGTCATGCAGCAATCTGCATTCTTCTGCAGCTGCAGTTCGTGATAAATGACTGCACTTTGTTTTGGATAATGTCAATCAAAGTTTCTCGTACCGTAAGGGCTTTAGGTAAACGAGGGGATGTTACCTTTGACCTTATGGAAGCTTCTAATGTGGAAGGGTTGACATTTATAAAATAGGGCATTTGTACTTATTGTAAATTTATTTTCGGATACACGACACGATACACTGCACAGAATTAAATGGCCATTATTTAGCAAGATTTCTCATATGCACTGAACCAACAAGCAAGACTACTCCAGGTACAGTGCAACCTGATATATTGATGATATAGATATTTTTAATCGATAAACGACTCATGCTACACAATATTTTTAGAATGTTTATGAAAACTAAGATTCCCAATGCTAAGTATATTTCCATGATACAATTACACGCAAAATGTTGAAATCGTGTAGTATTTCCATATATTATTCTGTTTACAAGTAATATTATTCGACGCCTCATATGCAACCTGGTATGACTTACGGACGTGTAGAATGGTAAAAAGACCACTTGTTGTTCCATTGTTCAGCTTTCTTCTAAGGAGTCAATGGTATCGAAATGGAAGAAAATATCAGTAGCGTGCAAGATCAAGATTCCACATATAGAATTATACAGATATCTCCTTTATCGTAAAAAATTTGAATTATGAATATGAATATTAACCGGGCATAGGGAATGCACTTGAGGATGCACTCTCTGACTACAAAATGCAATATACGCACAGGGATATAAGTACAGGGAGAATAATCGATACTCCATTAGTCAATAACACGATAAACCTAATGTACATGTTCCAATCCCGATGTTAGTGATTGTTAATAATATCCAGGACGTCATCACAGTATTATAAAGTCCAAGACCACGTGGTAAAACGCGAGCACGGTAATAATATGGCAGCAATCGAACACGACGAAAAGCATACTCGGCGAGCACACAGCAATCTTCTACTCGGCGAGACTCACCGTCCTCGAGCTCCGATGATATCTTCAAGAACTCCTGAAGATGCTTTGGCAATCTCCTGGCATCGGTGATCTCTTTCCCATCGATGAGGCACTTGGCCTCCTCCTCGGCACCGTCATCTTGATTCCTTTCCGTACCACTGCTCACAGCTTCCGATTCACTCTCGTCCAACTTTATGCCAAACTTATCCAGTCTGTTCTTAGCTCTCTGTATAAACTCTTGTTCCATTTTGTTCATATTAGCCTTCCCATCGGTCTTATCAAGATCCGCATGCGAACTGATCTTTATCACCTTGTGATGCTTCCGCTCCTCTCGTTCCTGCACTTTGTGCACGTACTCGTCGTACATCTTTTGACGGAAAACTTCGCCGTTCGTCGGCACCGCGGACGTTGCGGATTTTGGTCTTTCGATTTTGACGATTCTATCATCGGGTTCGATTCTGTGAGCTATGTCACCTCTTTTCGAGATAACGTATCTCTCCTCTTTGGTTTCATTGCGCTCGGATTCCTCCTTGCGAAAGCCATCCGCGTCCAACATTTTCTTTCTTATCTCGTAAAAACCGTCTTTCTTCACCGTTTCGGATTTGCCATCTCCAACATCTCTGGATTCTTCGTGCCACGTGTCTCTGTGCGTAATATCGTTCTTATCTTGGGAGACATCCCTTAACTTCCGAGAATCCTGAATTTTCTCATTACTTGAAATTTCGTTGAATACGTCGCGTTCGTCCCTGACGCATGGACCACCTATGACGCTGTGCGGTCTTTGCCGCACTTTTTGATTGATCTCCTGTCTGCCGTTACTTAACGTATTACGTTCCTCCTCCTCGGCCATTATAACGTTCTTAAGCTGAGTCTCCAATTGCTCTATGTATTTCAATTGCTCGTCAAAATATTCCTGAGGCAACGAATACCGTCTACGACTATCCATGTGGTATTTCATGTTAGATTGCAACTGTTTCAGATTCTCCATAATTTCCTCGGTACTGACTTGCTTCTCGCGTTCAGTGTCATGATATCTCCTAGGCTCAAGATGACTTCTTGGTGGTGTCTTATCAAATATACTTGTCGTGTCGATACATGATCTATCCACGGATACTGATTTCTTAAATTTTGGGGGTACCTCGGGTTTGTCATTGATCAAAGCAGGATTGACACCTTGCTTAACGTCACTCTTCTTAAGCACTGTAGTCTTCCTCATATCCGACGTGCTCGCAGACTTGTCAATAATAGCACTGTTCATCGAAATAGGACTTTTGCGAAACGGCGTGTTACTTCTGACGGTTGCGTCACAAGACTCGCGCGAACGATCCACCAATGCACTGTTTATACGTTGATTGCCCTCAATGACTTTTCTACTAGACGTTTCGTTGAACTGATTCTCCGTGCGATTTTCCATTAACTTTTCCCTGTCTCTCTTGGACTGTTGATTCGTCGCCCATGATCGTGACTTATCACGCGTAGCTTCTTCCCGAGGCGCTTCTTCGTAAACTGAACTCTCTCCGGTTCCGTGCACATTATTGACTCGGGTTGTCGAGTTGGAATACGTCTTATCGCTGCCTTCACATATTTTCTCGCACGATTGCTCTATTAATAAGTTATTACCACCACGTGTTCCTGAATCGCTATCAACGGAGTTACGCCTGGCCAGGTTGAGCCAGTCCGAGAGTCTGGTAGCTTTCAGACGATCTTGATTGTCATCCAGAGACGGTACTCTTCTCATTGTCTTGTTATCAACATTACCTTTCGTGCTGTAGAAATCGTAAATGGCGTCGCGACTACGTTCCACGAGCTTAGATTTTGATCGAGGATCTTTGTGAGACACTTGCGAATCTCCTGGCACCGTAGAATTTTCTTTAATAATTTCGAGAAGTCTATTGCCAGGTCCAGGAATGTGCCAGTCCCCACTCCAACGACCGGCCTTACCACCCACGCACTGAGTATCGCTCTTATGACCACTTGATTCGCTACCTGGGGGGGCGCATACTTCAACACGATACTTTTGGAGGGAAGCGTCGTGACGCTGTTGTGGCTCGTGATAGCTACGTCTCTCTAGGAACTTCTTGTGCAGGTCCAGGAGATTGTCAGCACTGGCTTGCATCTTGGTCTCTTGTTGGGACGGCGACAAGCAGACTAGCAATCGTGGATCCTCAGCAGTTGGTACTCCCATCCACGTATTAGATCTCTGCTTGCTCATTGTCTCTTCTCGACGAGACTCGCTACTCTCTGTACAGACAACTTCTCTACGTGTCTCTGTGCTCATTGACTCCTCTGAAACAGTAGTTTTTCGCGTATCTAAGTCCACGCTGTGAGATCGCGATATCAACCTTTGGTTACTCGACAGTGACTCTTGGCTCACACCATGCGTTTTTAATGTGTCGTTATCTAGTTTAGTGTTAACGGATTCTTGAATGGTCTGCAGATTTTTAAAGATGTTAAACTTTGGAAGGGTTATTTCGTTGATTATTTGAACACCGTAGGGCATCGACAGGATCTTCTTTATGCAGAGGTCTTTTAGCAGGTCTGGTCTCGGGTCTAGATTAGTCGAAAAATCAACGGTGGTATCGATTTTCTTCGCGTTATACAGATCCTCTATGGGGGAGTACGGTATGGGCTGCGGAGAATCTTCTTCGTTCTCCTTGAAGCTTTCTCGAGATTTCTCTTGCTTTAATAATGTCAACTTCCGTTTTAACGGAGGCGAGTGATTTTCCCTTTCCCGTCGATCCTCAGTGTTCTCTATCTCGTGGAGCACGGAGGGTATGTCTGCCGGTGAAGATCTGTCTGGATTATATTTTGCGGTGCTCAACGAGGCGTTGCTGCTCGAAGAATCCTGACCTTGAAAATCAGTCGGACTAATGGCATTGGTCGTGCACTCGGCTTCCTGGAACGTGTTATCAGACTTTTCTGGCACACCGGCCCGTTTCTCGGCAGTGCCCGCGGAATCCGACTTCACCTCGTTGGAACTGACCCCGGTGGAGCTGGTGCAGTGTTCACTATTTGTCTGCCTCTTCTCGCACTCGTTCGCCACTACTTCAGTCTGGTTATTTTTAACGTGCAGTTGCGAGACGCGCTTCTCTTCCGTGTTTTGCTCGCGTTTCAGACTGTAGCTAACCCCTTCGGACTTGGACAGTGAATCGACGATCTTCGTGTCAAAGGCTGCCGATCTGTCCTCGTGTTTTTCGCTCGACTGTCTCACCGACTTGGCTTCGTTCTCATTGATGATCTCAGTGTCGTGCTTCTCCTGATTACGAAGCTCGCTTTTGCGATACTGATCAGTCTTTATACCGTTCTTGGTCTCTGAGCTGGTCCAGCACTCGGTGCGGTACTCTTTGATCTCGCAGTGCTTCGCCACTGAACTCTTCTCCGAGACTCGTGGCACCTCGAAACCACCCAGGCCGTTCGGAGTGGATGACACCGGATGGTCAGAGAATTTTACAGATTTTTCGGCTGGCTCCTTAATGTGCTCATGCGCTATTTCAAGTCTCGCGTCATTGCCAAGCTTGACGGTACTCTCAACGTTGCGTAAGTCGATGCTGTCACTCGCGGTCGACGCGCTGGGACTGGGCGCCATTAGGTCGTCGATTATGTCGCGTATGTTTTCGGGCAGTTGGGTCAGGTCGAAGCCAGCGAGAATATTTTGTACGTCTTGACTGGTGGTGTCGTGCTGAGATAGAACTGTTAAAAGGGTCTTCACGAAGTCTACCGTATTTTGTTCAGTTTTAACGTTGGATTGGCATACGCGAACTTTATGCTGATGATCCATTGATAATTGTGGGGCTGGCGATGGTACAGGTGGTAGCGGTGGCGGCGATGGTGATAGTCTAGATTCTTCCCAACTGCGCGATCTTCCGATTACCTTGACATTTTCGTAAATTGGTTCGGTGCTCGAGTTAAAGAACGAGTTATCGTGAACGGGAGGCGGTGGTCGCAGGGGTGGCTCATGGCCGTTCTCCGTATCAGCGAAATGTACTGTTTTACCACGCAACGGTGGTGTCGGTATTTTTGGATTGGTAAATACATTGTTTGGAAGCGGTGGAATCTCAGGAAGGTCACTCGGATAATCTATTTCGGGTGGGGTGGGCGGCCGATGTGGCTCCGGATCGCTGCCGAAGCTGGAGGATCTTTTAGGAGGTGGTGGCGGACACCTTCGTTCGTTTGCACAATTCGTCGTTGGATTTACCGTGATTGACGATATTCCGCCAGCTTCACCGTTTATCGCGTGATCGTTATTCGCGTTGCTCGGTACATGATTCGCGATGTCTGTCGTATCGCTTTGAATTTCTATTGTAGCCTCTTGCATCACTGGAAGCTCTTTGTAAACTGCGGTTACCGTCGACACACCAGGTTCCTTCGTCTGTTTGCTATCTGAATTTTCATTATTCACAACCGCCGTGTTTTTCTCTGTTTCCACTGTCGATTTGCTCTCGGCTACTTTCATCTCGCTACTCACGGATTTCACCTGCTCCTCCGTATCCTCCTGCGACATGTTTTTCTCATCGATTCTTTTCTCCTCCCTCCTGTACCTGCTTATTTCCTCATTTATGAAGTCCCGTATATGCTGCTCGTCGTCCTCCGACAGTTTTTCTCCCTCCTCCTGAATAATATCCAGAAACCTGTTGGCGGCCTGCGTCTGCGAGAAGTAAGATTCCAAAATTGCACGTTTCTTGGCTTTCCTGGAAGCTGTACTCCCGCCGAGATTTCTCTCGTTCTCGGCCTTCTGACACTCGTCCCTGGCCTCTTCCGGCGAGGCCGGTAACTTGAGCCCTTCTATGAAACTCCTGAGCTTCTTCTCGACCTCCTTGGACATTGGCGTTTCCGGTGCTTCCTTCTCGTCCATTGTCGCCTCTTTCTTAATATCCGTTTCCGTCTTGGGCTTCAAAGTCGAATAATATTCCTCGAGACTCCCGTGCTCCTCGACCTCCTCCTCTTCGGGATCCTTCTCGAGAATCACCAATTCTCCTACTGGTTCCTTCTCCACGTCCGATTCCGCTTCGACCACTACTACTCTGCTATTGTCAGGCTCCACGTCACTGTCGCTGACTTCATGAATCTCGAGGCTGTTGTTCTTTGCCAACAATGCCAGAGCGAACTTTTGATCGCCAAGGGTCTTGACCTTCGAAGTCAGGCTACTCGAGAGAGGTTCGATAGGTTCGACTATGGTTACCGTGGGTTCATCCTGCTTAAGTCCCCTCTCCAGAATACCCACCCCGGCGATGTGGTCTATTCTGGCCTCGAGCGGAAGATTGCAAATCGTTGTGATTTCGCATATTTTTGTTTCGGTGTTCAGCGCCTTTTTCTCAATTGTAAAGCGATTCTGTCTCGCACGTCTTTTAACGACTGGTGATTGCAGAGAGGGAACTTCGTCCCGATCAGAATCAGCATTTTCAGTTTTCACGGTTACAGCATTTCCATTAACCCTAGTCTCTGCCGCATTTTCAAGGATTGTCTCAATTTTTTCATCGTCTGATGTATTGGTTTCGTTAGATTCGTTCGTCGATCTTTCTGCAGTGCTTCCGTTCTGTTCCGGGGCCGAAGGCTGGAATCGCCTGCGATTCCGACTTCGACGATTTTTACGATTGCGCGAGCCGTGCGGCATCCTGATGAAGCTGTCTTCGGCGTCGGTTGCGTAGTCCAGAGAGTCCTGCCACTCTTTTCCTAAATCGCGAGAGTCAGCCGGAAGAAAATCGTGGGATACAGGGTAAACGTTTCCATTAGCCGTGCAAATAATAAAAAGTATATCTCGCCGGAAGTATCTCGTGTGTTCATTGATAATCCTGATAAACCGTGACAGTCTGTTACAACGTGTCAATAAAAAAAAAAAAAAAAAAAAAACCCTAAAAAATTTAAAAAAAAAAAAAAAAAAAAGCCGGAAGTATCTCGTGTGTTCATTGATAATCCTGATAAACCGTGACAGTCTGTTACAACGTGTCAAAAAAAAAAAAAAAAAAAAAAAATACCTGATAAAACTTTCAAACAAACAACGATTAAAAGAGACACTGCCAACGTCGCAAATCTTCGCATTTCGCGAAATATTCGCAAATGCTCTAAATTTACGGGGGAAAAAAAAATGAATATATCATCCGTATCTGGTATACTGTCGCTTAGACTTATATTTATCTCTCAAAATTGAGATAAATTTTATTCGCAGTCACAGGCTTCTCAGAACTTAAAAATGAACACCACGTGACTGACAGTAAGATTTCACTCTTCAAGAATGGGAACACTGTATACGATGGCAAATTGAAATCCGACCGAGACACGACTGAAAAACGTCACGTTTCCCACGTAACTTTTTCGCGAAGAAATTATTCACAAATAGAACGCGGTTCGATCAATTGATAGGGCTGAAAATGACCGCGGTATAAGTCAAGTCTATAGGACTCGCATCCACAATAGTGACATTCGTATCGGCATCCCCGTCAACGAGAGAAGAGAATTCGCGAATTGCTGTGATGATACGAAGTTTAATGTACGTAAGAAATCCCAATGACATCTCGATCCTCTAGAAAGCATGCAGCAACCATTCCCCGTTACCCAGCATTCCAGTTAACCTACATCCTCTACCTCGAATACTCCAGCTAAAAGCGTATAAATAAAATCGTTAAAGCTCACCTTTCACAGAATCGTACGTTTGATCGGCCGTCAAATTCTTCAGACCGCCGTTCTGACTTGCGTAGCTTTTAACGTTCTTCGTGTCATCTAAAACAGTTAATATTACACGTTAATGATTACACGTCAATTATAACTAATTATCGTACGTCCCGTAGTCACACTTTCTCGAACGAACTAATTTTTCCCCGACATTCAGTCTTAACGAAGTCAACAGAGACTTTACGTATAAAACGGTAAATTTATGTAGCGATAAAACACGCACAAATCGCACAAAACTGTGTCATTGCGAATTCACGTAACAGGAAAGAAAAAGGAGAGTAGGCCGCAATCAATTCGACGAATAAAAAAATTCCCTTCAATAACAATCATCGTTAACGCTCCAACCATACCGCGATAAAATAGCATAAAAATGAATTGCGTGATTAACAAAAAGTGATCTGTCGATTCAAAAAAAAAAAGTGAAAAAATAAAGAATTTGAAAAATCCCCAAAAAATTTATTACAAAAATTGCATCCCTCGTAAAGCATTAAAAATATCACTGATTGCCGTTATCACACCTGACTGTCACTCGATCACTCCTGACACTCGGCACGCAAGAGTCGCTCTACGTTACAGGAGCTCCCAGGATGTTCGAATCGCGGGTACATACTGAGTGTGCTGAAAGCTGCCACCCAGGATACGTAGATTACCCCACCAATTGCTCGTACGCGACACAGAAGCATATCAAACTGTACATATGGTGCACACACGTGTCGCTTCCCTTGTCATATGGGTTTCATACATGGTACCCACTTCCGAGAGGGACTTCCTTCCGAATACATACAATACACCTATAAACACTCGCGTGTTCATCCCACCTCACCCGATCATGAACACACCTATTCATTCCATGACGTTCATTATGTCACTATGGCCCAATCACAGGCCTGCAGGACGCACGAGTCGGCACGCTCAATCGACTTTCGCAATTATAATAATATGTATGAGATACTTGGTTATTATTAGGATTTTAAATTACTCGAGACGCTTGGTCTTATAGGTAATACCTCTTTTATTTTCACAGAGCACGGGGTATACGAAAGGGGATGAAAACGAAATCTTGTAACCTTTGAGACTGCGCGTATACCATATCGCATTGTTGGGGTTAATCAAGGGTGAGTGACTCTCTAATTAGTTCTGTTACTCTCGAGACTCCAAGGGGTTGCATATGCAACCCTTCGTCGTGGACTGTGACTTTGCAACGAGTGCGTGTCACGCTATTGTAAAATAAAGAGTCGATCGCGTGATAATGTGCCTTGGGTATATGGACATTGTGGACTTCGGTTTATAGCACGTATACGTATCACCGACGTATATATAGTTATATCAAATATGTATAACATAAATATAAAAGCGTATTGTTTCAATGTACATTGCTTGTATAGTTGTATTATATTCATTTGATATATAACTACTATATATTACGCTCGCTTGTGCGGCCGACTGTGAACCTATCGTTCCTTGCAGTAAAATTAATCAGCGTCATCTTGGCTTTAATCGTATCGGCAGAATCGAAGAAATCGTATCTAGAACGATCTTCGGTATAGGTATATATGGTATTTGGAAGTCGAAGAAGGACGGATGGGCAGAAGATGAGTATTGCGGAAGCCCGGGGCTTGGCCTTCATGACCCATGACACCGCACCCATTCGACGCATTAACGCGTCGTGTTCAGGCTCGCGTTCACGTATCTATAATCTATTCATGTACTCGGAGTTGTACGAGTTACCGATTTCCGATCTGTACACTATGGACATATAGTGTCCATTGATGCGAGCCGTTGGAGTCAAACCGGCAGTAGGTATAGCACACGGGTTCTTATACATATCCGCATGTACAAGGCGGACTAGGCTTAATCAATTACAATGTAGTGTATGGATCATTTGAAATGCATAGGTATAACGTGAATCGGGTCAGTAATTTTTTTCTCACAAGCACATATACAATACACAGCAGCGAAAAGAAGGAGATTCGTTCACCTTTTATTTTTCATTTAATGATTAATAGTCGTCAGTATTAAGACACAACAGTCTGTGATTTTTATTGCGAATGAACATCTTCCAAATTTTAAGGCGTACCTAGTTGCGTTAGGCATTTTAAGTTGCTGGTATTTTTTTTGTATCTTGATAGACATGCTGTGGATTGATTTTTGGTTGAACCTTTTTTTGACTTTTTGTTCGTGACTGTTATTACGCAAAAGGTAGATATGTGGGTTATCTTTCTAAAACTAATGGCGGGAGGGGGGGGGGGGGGGGGAAAAAAGGAAAAAAAAA